ATGAACAGATTAAGTGTGGCTTGTCCACAAGATTGAGTAGTACCATGCGTCAATTAAAAGGAATGAAGTACTGATATGTGCTACAATACAGGTGCACCTTGAAAAATTGTGCTAAGTGAAAGAACACAGACGCCTAACATCAGATGTTGTATGAGGTGAGATGCGTCAACTGCAGAGACAGACGGGAAGACATTGAAGGAAAACTGGAGTGATTGCTAGGGGGTAAGGGGCTTTCAAAGAGGGCAATGAGAATGTTTTAAAATGGTGGTGATGGGTGTGCAATGTCACAAATATACTAAAAACCACGGAATTGTGCAATTTAAGTGTTGCACTGGATACTATGTGAATTTTATTCCAACAAGGCTATTACTTTGGAGATGAGGATGATCAGGGATGAGGATGATTCGGGGTTTCCTACCAACACCTAGCTTTCCAGGGTCCCATGCCCCGGAATCAGGGGGCTGAGTATTTCTTTTTTTTTTTAAGATTTATTTTTATTGGAAAGGCGGATATACAGAGAGGAGAGACAGAGAGGAAGATCTTCCGTCTGATGATTCACTCCCCAAGTGAGCACAACAGCCTTTGCTATGCTATGCCGATCCGAAGCCAGGAGCCTCTTCCGGGTCTTCCATGCGGGTGCAAGGTCCCAAAGCTTTGGGCCGTCCTCGACTGCTTTCCCGGACCACAGACAGGGAGCTGGATGGGAAGCGGGGCCGCCAGGATTAGAACCTGCGCCCATATGGGATCCCGGGCGTGCAAGGCGAAGAGGACCTTAACCACTGCGCTACTGCGCCACTGTGCCGGGCCCATGGGGCTGAGTATTTCTACCCTTAAAGCCAGGACTGGATCCTGCCAGTGGATGCTGGGGCCCCTCACTTTTTGACAGAACTCTTCCATGGTGCTCAGGGCCAGTCAAGCAAGCAGCTGCTCCTGGATTCGGGAAGTGACAAGGGTTGCACAACTTGCTCATTTCCTTCCCTGTAGGAATCAAGGGGTTTGTACCTGGCTTGGTGTCTGAGACAGAGGTGGGAGGAGAGAATGGTCGAAAGCAGGGAGGACAGAGGAAAAGCAGTTGTGGCATGATACTGGTGCAGTGTTGTGCAGTGCTAAGTGGAAGCCATTGGGATGCCAAGAAGTTCAAGGTCTCACCTAGCTTGCTGGCCCACACTGGCTGGAGCCAGGTGGGAACACAATTCTGAAGAGGTCCAGATGCTAGAACACTGGATCCTAAAACAGATCAGAAAGGGGGATGCATCACGGGGAATGTGGGCCTGGCTCTTAGCAGATCTGGAAGGCAAGGCTGGGCTGCAGGAATCAGGAGACTTGGGTGTTCTGTCCCAGGCTTTGGATTGTCATTCTGGTGGTAGAGGATGACAGCCACAGCACCAAAGGGCCACATAGGGATGAATGGGGCAAGGGCTGCTGGACAGGCCAGCAGTGCCGGTGGAATGTCTATCCAACACAATAGCACTGCTACTCCTGTGCCTCCCATTTCATACCTTCAGTCTGTCCTGTTTTCCCTATGTTATATCATAGTCAGTAGGCTCTTTAACCACCTGCAACATGTTCAGCCCACTTGCTGAGACCCTGATGGAACTAGGATGACTCAAACCAGCGAGAAGTTAGGGCCCCAGAGAGCAAGGGGCTTCTGTGAGGGGGCTCCTCTGACACCAGGACCACGTGCTTTTGGAAAGAGATGGGGCTGACCAACAGGCAGTAGCAGAAGCCACCTCGGGGCTGGAGACAGACGCTACATCTCCAAGAGAAAGCAACTCACAGCACAGTCCTTTGCCTGCAGCCCCACGAGGGCTGGGGAGCACTCCCAGAGAAAGCAGGGTACCATGGAAAATACTTAGCTGTCGGGGTGAAAATTAAACAGATGGGAGTTCCTTTCCTTTAGTGTCTTAATTATTCTGACGTTTTCCATAACTCCATTGGCGCCATCACTTCAGCTTTAATGATGCGTAATGAAATGGATTATTTACAGTAACTAATATGACAGGAAAAACTGAAGGGTGTGAATTGGTAACTTGGCAACTGTTTTCTCTTTTCTTTCTATGCAGCCAAAGTGTGTGGACTCTCTATCGTCTAGCCCTTACCTCTCTGTATGGTTGGAGCCCAGACTCTAGCTCTGCTTCTCCCATGCACCTGCTAGCCATGCTTGACCCTTGGCTTCTGGGAGCAAAGAGAAAGGGGTGAGTTCAGGGTGGTGTTGTCATGGACATGGGCCTGTTCTGTCATTCTTTTATCTCACATGCTTTTTGAAACAACGCTGCATGGCAGATTTTGTGAGAGGACCTTAGATTCAGACAGGGTAGGTAATTTACCTAAAGACATACGGTCAATTTTTGTCTTGTTTTGTTGTCCATCTATCTCCTGGAGTAATATTGTGACTCGCATCACCATTCCTTGCTTGATGCAGGGAAAGCTAATTTTCTCCTAAGGAAACATCATGTTTTTTTAAGTAGGAAAGAGAAAGAATCAAAACTGCCATTTTGAACTTGCAGGCTATGGGGCTCGGGGAGTCCAGTCAAAGTTCAGGACCCTAGGCCAGGGTGGGAGCAGGCAGTGGCAGGTGCACCATTTTAAGGGGCTTGATAGATGCCTGTACTACCTGGTGCATCCTTGTGAAGAGCCAGGAGCAATGTCAGGAGTCTGTGCTGAGACAAGTGCCCCCTGTGTCTCTGAGCCTTGGTTCCCTTGGGCCTGCCAGGGGGCTCCAGCTGGTTTCCTGGCAGTTGCCAGGCAGTGCATGTGAGCCGAGATGTTTTTCTTTTTCTATCATGTATTGTTTCTAATTGGCCTCTACTCCAGTTCTCTTTCTCATCCCATAGCATCTTGTTCCCTGGTTATTCATCATTTCCTGACAGTTAAAGTAGCCACGTAGACTTGACTTAGATCTTAGTTCCTACCATTGCCTTGCCCCAAGGCTGGCATCCCTGGGAACTGACTCCCTCCTATAGGTGGAATGACCCCTCCTGTCTTTACCTTGGGCTGGAAGAATAGAGAGCAGGGAGAAGGAATGGGACTAGGGTCTTTATCTCACTGTTTCTATTGCTTGCTGCAGCTCCTCTGGCTCAGGCTGACTGGCAGGTGCTAAGTGCTGGCTTGCACAGGGGCACAGACGTGCTTCAAAAAGCTTGAGGCTGCTCCCACTGCTTGAGGCTGCTCCCACTGCTCAGTTCCTTACCTCAGTCCCTTTTCACTTACCAGTCCTGGGCTGCTGGGCTCCTGGCCCATTCAGGCATTTGTGTGAAAAGGAGGGAGGACTCCTTCCATGGGATGTTCAACTATTCTTCCTGCCCCAGCAGGACATTGACATTCCTCCCATCTATGCTGCTGCTGTCCCTGATCTGAGTGGAGACTAGAACCTGACATTCCTTGTACCCCTGACACAGGACTGCATGAGGCATTACAAAGGGTTACACCTGCCCTAGGAGACAGGCCATGTCACTCCCCAGTGGGCCAACTCCATCTATAGCCTTCTGAGGGGCTGTGGTGAAGAGTGGGGGTCCAAGGACACGGCCTGCTATCATAAGGAAGGGACTGCTCCCAGCTGTTGGCTTCTCTCTTAAGAACAGACACAAATTCGTTTTCAAATCTCAGCCAGGACAGCTGTCACTAAAGCTTCCAGGAGTGATATTGAGCCGAGGGTGCCATGGGGACACTGTGTTTTACCGTCATTTCAGGGTCTTGGCTTGCTCCTGCTTTTTTTTTTATTTTTTTGACTTGTTGAGACATGTGGTAGGCAAGGAATTTTTAAGACAGACTCTGGCAGGGACTGGGGGAGATGGAGTGGTGCGGTGACATTTCAGGCTAATCTTCCACCTGGAAGCACTGGCATCCCATATGAGCACCAGTTCCTGTCCTAGCTGCTCTGCTTCCCATCTAACTTCCTGATAATGACCTAAGAAGGCAGTGGAGGATGGCTTAGGTCCTTGGGACCCTGCATCCACGTGGAGGACTGGGAAGAAGCTCTTGGTTCTTGACTTCCGATCAGCTTAACTCTGGCTAGTATAGCCATTTGGAGAGTGAACCAGTGGATGCAAGATCTTGCTGTGTCTCTCCTTCTCTTCTCTGTAAAAATAAGCCTTTCAGATAAAAAATAAATAAATCCTCAGAGAGAGAGAGAGAGAGAGAAGGGCTAACTCACATCCCCACATCTCAGGAAGCCTGCATCCCAAATGGGAGTGTGGGATGGAGTTCCAGCTCTGCTTCTGATGCTGCTTCCTGATAATGCACCTGACCAGCAGCTGATGGTGGTTCAAGTTTTGGGTTCCTGCCATCAATGCAGGAGACTAGAATGGAGTTCCTGATTTAGGCTCAGCCCCAAGCCAAATACTGTGGGCATTTGAGAGCAAACTGGTGCCTGGAAGGGCTCTCTCTTTGTCTCTCTGCTTTTTAAGTCAATGCAAATACACTTTTAAAAAATCTTGGGGATAGGTTTTGTGATGTAGCAAGCTAGGCATTTGCCTGCAACGTTGGTGTTTCATGTGGGTGCTGGTTTGCATCTCAGTTGTTCTATTTCTGATCTGGCTCCCTGCTGATGGCCAAGAAAGGCAAGGAAGGATGACCTGGATGCTTGGGCCGCTGAACCTATATGGGAGACCCAGAGGAGGCTCCTGGCTCCTGCTTTTGGACTGGCTCAGCACTGGCTATTACAGCCATTTGAAGAGTGATCCAGTGGAAGGAAGGTCTCTCTCTCTCTCTCTTTGTGTATGTGTGTGTGTGTGTGTGTGTGTGTGTGTGTGTGCACATGTGCGCTGGTGTGTGTATGTGTCTTCTCTCAGTAACTGTATTTCAAATAAGTAAAATTCCTTTTTTTTTTTTAATCCAAGAGACAAAAAGATGGACTCTGAGCTGCCTGGAAGTGGTTGATTGGTTCCTTGTATACTCTGCCTTCACAGAACAGGTGATCAAAGAACAAACAGTCCAGTGGTGTTTAGAGTCTCCCTTAGTTACCCCTGAAGCCTCTGTTTGCGTTCTTGCATGGCAACAAGACCAGCGGTAGAAGAAGATGGCATCTGGCATGAACTTCGGGTGCAAGGCAGGATTCAGGTCCTGGATGATGTGCTGGGTGGGCACACACACACATGTGTCATCCAGTGTGCAGGAGGCGGTCATTCTCCTGACTCTGCTGGGTGCCATATCTGGTAGGAACTCCACTAGGCTTTGGAATCCATTTTGCTTGGTTAATTATATTTGTATGATAAATATATTAATATTCCAAAAAGAGAATTTTGCTGCTGGGAGGCCTTGTTCAACTGTGGGCTTATCTGCAATGATGAATGAGATGTAGCTACTCCAGGAAGCCCTGGGTTGGGTTGGGCAGGGGGTGCTCCGAGAGAGAGGGATGCTTAAGGAGGCACCAGTTAGTCTGTTTATTCAGACTTCACTTTCCCGCTTGTGCTAACTGGGCTTTGAGGACATCCTTCTGAGACTTCAGGTTGAGGAAATAATCTTCATGGGAGAGCTTTGCATATTTGGTAAGTCTTTCTAGAGATTCCAGCCCTTCTCTGAATCAATCCATGTGGAACAACTTGAAGTTGACTAGTTGTCCTGTGTGGAAACTGAACTACCCAGGGGCTGTTATCTTCATCTTGAGTAAAGACAAGACAGAAAGGCTAAAGACTCCCTCCAGCAAATGCCTCTTCATGTAAAAAACTCCAGGAATGTTCATGATCTTTTTAATGTCGTCAGTTTGGATGACTGAAGTTGAGATTTTTAAATTAAGTTTTATTTTTGAATAGATAGTGTATGCATAATGCGTAGAATTCAATCATGCTAAGTTTACAGATTTATTTAGGGATAATTTGCATTTTTGATTAGTTGTGTAGTAAAATACTTAAGAGGAAAGTGGGGCATGGAGTAAATGCTTAGGAAACGTTGGGATTGTTATTGGTAATGTTGAGTTTTCCCTAATTCATAAGCAGGGTTCTGGATACTTAAGCCCTCATTTGCGTTTCTCAGGAATGTTACAAGGTTTCTTCCAAACAGATCTTGGACCTTCTGATTATTACTGCCTATTTTGTATCTACAGACAATTCTAATCTAAGAGCAGAGCTCGAGTTTTTCTGTTCTTGCATTTGTGAGATATTTGCTTCCATCCTACCTGTGGTATGAGGTACAGATGTCTCTTCACAAGCCTTGTTACTATGCCTAGTGGCTTTTCATTTGATTCTCATGCATTCTCCAGTTCTAAAAAAGTCTTTTCAAGTTGCCAGACTTGTGTCTCCAGACCATGTTAGATAACAAGCAAGAGTCTGCCTTTTTGTCTTACTCCCCATCAAGAATGAGGAGGGCTTCCTGTCTAAGATAGAAATGCCTCACTTATTCAGGAGCCAGTTTTTGGTCTTACTAGCTTAGGCAATTTATTGCTGAATCAGATGGATTTATGTAATCAAATACTTGCTCTGGATTTAGGGGAAGGACCATTGAATTTTCCTGTTGAACTGCTAACAGAATCGTGAGTAACTGAACTTCTTGATGTTGAGCCCTCTTCCTCCTCGGGCTCTCTGGCAACTGTGAGGCAGGTCTTATGCAGCCCAGACGTCGTCTTGAAGTAAACATTTGAGAGTTTCCCAGAAATACGGGCTTTTAGGGATGTAATCGTTGAGTTAAGAGGGATGCTTTGACTGTCATGTGGGAAGTGTGAGGCTAAGAGGAGCCCAGCATTTCATGTTTGAACACCATCATTTGGAACTTTATTATCAGATGTGAGAAAGGAGCAGATCACAGAGATTTGCAAGAAGTGTTTGAGATTTCTCATAAAAAAAGAAGTCACGTTGGAAGTCCTCCTTCCCCTGAAAGCCATTTAACTATCGTGATTTCATTTCCACAAGTAAAATCCTGTTTTGAAAATATATTTTTAAATGGTGTTTATTTCATTTGGTGGGGTAAGGAAGGAATAGACGTGGAGGGAGAGAGAAAGATTGAGAGAACAAGCTATCCCCTACTGGTTTACTCCCCACATGCCTGGGAACTGAATCTAGATCTCCATGAGGGTGGCAGGAACCCCACTACTTGATCCATCACTGCTCCCTCCTGGGAGTCTGCCTTCACAGGGAGCTGGAGTCAGGAGCCCAGGCTCTTAGGCGTGGGCTGAGGGCATCCTAACAGGCTTCTAACTGTTGTAGCCAGTGCCCACCCATCTTTTCCTGTTTGTCTGTATCCCAAATAATGGCTCTGTGACACCAAAGTTACAGAGGGAGACCTACCAGCACCCACCTTCAGGCTCTTTGAAGCAGATCCCACCAGAGCAAGTTCAAATGACAAAGCATGTCCAGCGTCTCCACCTTCCTCTCATGTAGGCGAGAGTGGATTCATTGAGCTTCCTTCAAGGCCCGCCCCAGCCCTACTGCACCCATAAAAAAGAAGTGCCATTTGTGACCCTGCAATTCAGCATCCCCAGTGCTGCAGTGTTGGAATGAGGAGCTTCACCAGGTGCATCCATGTATACTCTAAAGACAGTTTATGGAAATCATTAATCAAGTTCAGGAGCCAGCCCCATGGTCATGCAAATAGTGGCAAAATGAAAGCTAGGAGCAAGGACTCTGATTTCACATGCCCTGCTCCTTTCACAACTTGGATTTATGTCACCACTACTTTGATTAGGTGCTGGAGAGAATAAAGTGGGACTTCATAGGTACGAGTCTTATGTGAGTGCTGCTCGGTGCACAGAAGGCAAAGCCACCCATCAGAGTAGCTGCATCCAGGAAGATGGGGGATGCCACATCCTTGACCCACAGCACCACGCATGGCGTCAGGATCCCAAGGACTGCCTGCTTCCTGCTTGTGGCTAAGGCTGTAGGGAGGTTGTTATCCCTTTCTGGAAAGGAAATGCTGGGAAGAGGAATAAGCATGCATCTCATGCATCCAGTGGAACATCCACAAGTGAGCTGTTCCACTGGGCCCAGTCAGTGACTGATAACACATCTCTTGCATGCTTTTTTTCTAAGTGTGTGCTTCAAGCAATTCTAATTTGCCTCTTAATTAAGATGCATGTGTAAGTCAAGTTCCATTAAAACTTTTTTTTTTTTTTTTTTTTTTTGCTATCCAGTGCTCAGACCACCCACCCAAGGAAGTGAGAAAGAACTGCCTGTGAGGAAAACACAGTTTCTCAGAGAGAGCTGACCCTGGCCTCATTCTCTGCCACCCCTCAGCTGGTGCCTTTGTGTATATCACTCAGATGTAGCTGTATCACAGATGGGTTGAACACTTGGGAATACTGTATCATTAACTGCTCTGATTTTGGGATATGAGTCCTAGCCACTTATTGTTATTCCTATTGCTTTTTTTTAAAAAAAAAGATATATTTATTTTTATTGGAAACTCAGATTTACAGAGAGAAGGAGAGACAGAGAGAAAGATACTCCATTCGCTGGTTCACTCCTCAAGTGGCCATAATGGCCAGAGCTGAGCTGATTCAAAGCCTGGAGCTTCTTTCAGATCTCTCACATGGACGCAGGGTCCCAAGGCTTTGGGCCATCCTTTACTTCTTTTCCAGACCACAAGCAGGGAGCTGGAAGGGAAGTGGAGCAGCTGGGACACAAACTGGTGCCCATATGGGATTCTTGTGGATGCAAGGCGAGGATTTAACCACTAGGCTATCATGCTGGGCTCTCTACTGCTATTTTTAATAGCAAAGGAGCTTGATGGGCATTCCAGGTGGCTACCTTTCTTATCAGTGTCCCTGACATATCTGGTGTAAGTTTTTGAAGATTCAACTGCAAGGCCCTGGCATGTGTGGTCTTGCCCTGAAGGGAGAGGCCACTGGAAAAAAGAGTTGAAGATCTCCAGGGAGAATTTCAGCAAAAACAAAGGCCACATCCTGGGTGGTCGTGCCTTAGCCCTACATGGACTAGGCAGTTTGCAACAAAATGGCACAAGACCTGTGGATATTACAACATCTTAACTTAACACCCGCCCCCCCATTCACAGTTTGACAGGTCAAGGGGGATCATGAAAAACTCTGTAAAGGTAGAGAGACTCCAGGGAGCTGTCTTTGGAGTCAGCTGCTTGGGTTGGAAGGCAGATTCTTTCTTGGAAGTTGTGTCTCAGATCCAGGTCTCAGACACGTTGTGATCAGTCCAACAAATTCAATGGCTGTGTTCCCAGCAAAGTAAGTCAAGAGCTGTCAACAGTGAGCCCACCAAGGGAGCACAGTTTGCCTCTGGATTCCCTATGCTCTCAGGAGGTTCATGGAGGTTGGTGGCCACGGAAACCTGCCCATGCAGGATGAAGCTGTGTTAGGTGCTTCTGATGAGGCTTACTCAGTAAGCCTACCTCAAATTTAGATTGCAGTACCATGCCTTAGGTTTCTCCAGAGTGTCTTATTGAGACGCAGTGCCTGGGTTCAAGGTCCCCATTTCTCATAGGTCCCCAGAACTATCTTCCTACAGTATCCCCAGTCATGGAATAAAAAGCTGCAATGCACCATTACGCATGGCAACGTGGGCAGGCACAGAGAGACTGACTGTAGGCAGTGGGCAGATGTGGTCTGTTACCTGGACAGTCAGTCAGGAGCACCCTGGCTGCTCACTGAGCAACTCAACATGCATGTGAGAAGCCACAGTTGCAACCCCTGTCTCACAGGATCGCACTCTAAGTTTACTCAATCAGTGAAAGCAGCTCACGTAGAGGCAAGTGCAGCTCGCAGGTTTTAACTGGCCTTTATCTGTTAATTCAGGCTGGATCCTAGCTTCCCTTGAGCTATTTTGGGGGAAAATGGAGCAGGCAAGTGTCAGCTCCTCTGGAGGAGCAGAGGTCCCCGAGCGGGTGGGAGGAAGCAAGGTAAGAATTGGGAGGAACACAGATAAACAAAGGGGATTCCACAAGACCTAAGGAGGCCTCTCCTTCTGCACATTGCTGTCCTCGTTTAGCTGATCTGAACATCTTCCCTGAACAGTTTCCTTGAACAGCTTCAAATGTGCCTTGGAATTTTCCAACTTGTGGGCAAAAAAGAATGGGAGGAAATTAGATCTCTGAAACCCAACCCATCAGAGCGATAGATTCTTTTGCTCATTTTTCAAATGAGCTTTTTTTTCTCTGTCTCTGAATACTCTAAGTATACTATACTGCTCCCAATTTTTATCACAATTTAAAAAAAAAATCTATGAATAGTTACTTCACCCTAAATCCTCAGCTGGTTTTCTTTGGTGCTGACTTGCACAAGCCTTGTCCATGAAACTTGAATACTTGCAAGCCCCACTCACTGGCGCAGCAGGTACTTTAGTCTCTCAATCAAAGAAGATGACTTTGGATGTCTAAAAGTGGGCATTAGTGAATGTGCTTATATTTCAGTTTCCTCACATTTCCATTTATTCTTTTGTGCTCTACCCCAAGATGAAATGGAAACTTCCTCCTCCAAAAACCGGGCTTCTTCTTATGGCTTATTGCCTTCTCGAAATTTTGCTCTGTTTGGGGGCACCTGCCCTTCCTGTATTTATTCTACCAGGTGTTTTGTTCCAGTGGCTGATGCTGGCCCAGATTGGGAGCCGGCTGGGAGGAGGGACTTCATATCAGTCTTGACTCTGTCAGTTATCATTTGCCATGTGTCTCTTTGCTCAGTTTCCTTATCTAGAAAAGCCCTACACTATAGGGTGTTTCGTGCAGTAAACAAAACCATGCTTTCATATGGTGCCCTTACTTGGAACTTTGGATCAATGGGAATTGTATTCATTTCCTAAGACTGTCATTAAAAAAGTGATTACAAGTTGGGTGGCTTAACACAGTAGACACAGTTGGTTCCTCCGAGCTTGGGAGACCAGAAATCTGAAATCAGTGTGTTGACAGCATGATTCCTTCTGATCCATGCCTTGATCCTCACTTCTGGGGTGCGCTGGGAGTGTTTTCCATTCCTTGGCTTGTAGCTAGCCTGACTGCAATTTCTGCCTTTTCACACCCCCGCTCCCTTTGTGTCTCTGTGTCCTGCATTCTTCTAAGGACACTGGTCACTGGGTTTAGGGCCAACCTTAATGCAGTTTGACTTCCTTTCAGTTTAACCCCTCTTAAGACTCTATTTCCAAGGAAGGTACATTCTGAGGTTGTAGTTGGACATGCACCTTTGTAGGATATTACGTAGCCTACTGCACGAAGCGTTGTTGTGGAAATATGGGAGGAGGGACCCAAATTCAGCCTGCTGTTCTTTGGGCTGGCAGAGTGTCCTAGAGAATACAGAATGATCCTTAGCCACCTTTCCTAGAGGAAATCACATTTCTAATGCCCTCCCTGAGTCTCTTGTTTCTTCTGTGAAATGGGTGTTCATCAGCCGTACAGCTGATTAAAATTACTAATGTGCGTGGGGAGAACCACTGTGTGGAGCTCTCTTGTCATGCACACTCAATTCCCAGATGGCCTAGGGATCCAACTCTGACCCAGAGAAGCGAAATGCACTCTTGCGAGCTACCGAGCCCTTGCAGGAGAGAGAAGATGTCATTACCAGCAAGGTCTTTCAAGTGGATGTCTGTCTCCAAAAGCATCACATTTCTCTTTGCTTGGCTGTTCGTGAGGACTGGGCGAGAAGTGAAGAGAGGCAGGGAGGGAAGAGCAGCAGCTTTATCTAGTGGCTGGCAGAAGCAGGCTTCCCAGTGCATGGTAGCTGTTTTCTTGTCCCTCAGAAATCTCACAAGAATATTTGTTCCTGGGAGAGTGACCTGGTCTCGGTTACTGGAGCCACCAATTAAAGCCACAGCCCAAGCTGTGAAGTCCATGTTCCCAGCAAAAGCTTTTGTGTTCACCTTGCTTTGCATGCCTTTTAAAACCCACAGGAGGAGAGGCACTACAGCTAATCCAGTTACCTGCCACCAGCAATGTAGCCGAGAATTCTCCCGCTGAGACTTCTGTGCACAAGTTTTCTGTGAAATTATCAGCGTCGCTGGCACCTGTGGTTCCAGGATTCCCGCTGATTATCAATTCGAGTCCCCTCACTGATGCCTTTAGGGTGAATGGGCTGTCAGACACTGACTTCGAGGTAAGCAGAATTTGTCACTCCCCTCTGCCCCAAAGATGAGGGTTGGTACTGGTTCTGGATCAGTGACCACTCCCCTCCTCTCCCTCTGGCTTAATCTCTCCTGGGGTAAGGTCTAAAAAGGCCAATTGGAAACACCCCAGAGCCCTCTGGGAGGGTGCCTCCTGGAGCTCTGGAGTGTATTTTGTCCACTTAGCACAGTTTCCATGAACCTTTGACCCAATGTGTCACAAGCAGCTTTCTTTCTGATTGCTACCACCTGTTGCCCAGCAGTAGGTGCTACGTGTGCTCACAGCAATTCAGTCCTTTCATGGGAAGTAGTTTGGGTACTGCTCACTTCAGACATCAGGCCCTGGTACCCTTGAGTTTGATGATTCTGTTTTTCTAGGATTTAAAATTTTCCAGAATTAAATCTAAGAGGACACTTACTGGGTATGGAAGACACACCCTGTTTAACAAAAATAGAAGTCAAATGTCCAACCCTGCCATATGAATGTTTCCTTTTAGATTACTGGCACTCAATCAGTGACACTCAAAGGCCATGGCCTGACTCCTCTGCTTTCTGGTTTGTCATCTGAGTCTTTTCCAGAGTTGTCACTTGTCCTGAAGGAGGGCCAACCCACTCACCATATGGCTCCCATTGCTAATCTCATAGATGTTCTGCGGATGTCTTTCTGGGCTAGGTGTCTGGGCCCACCTCTGCTTTGGCATCTCCCACTTCTACCCCTTTTTTGCCCAACTGTTTAGGAATCTCCTGGAGTTGTCATAAACTCTGCTTCTGGGCCTCCCTACACTGTTATTCCCCAGTGGGTTCTAGCCTGCCTACTCCCAGTTCAGCAAAAATGTGTGCACACCTGGCCCCTGTGCAGGCCTGTGAAATCCATGGCTTGAGGCTAGGGTTGGGAGGTCTGGTCTTCCTATCTCTCCTGATACATAGAAAGCAGAATCAACCTCTACCTCAGCGTCGGATTGCCATTTGTGGGCCCCAAGTTCTGGTTGTGGGCCTTGCTGTCCTGTCCCCTTATTCCCTGAGTCTGACTTACCTTTGACAGCTCCTGTTTGCCTGTTGCTATAACGTTTTCTGATGTTTATAACAACTGCAGGACCCCGAATGTATGCCAGACATGACAAAGGGGCTGTGTGTGCTCTTGTAATCCTCAAAAGAGTTGCATGATTACTACACCCTCTTCATAGGTGAGCAAAATGCAACAGAGAGGTCAAAGTCCTTGTTCTGAGTTCCCCAGCTAGTAGGTACCTGAGTTGAACTTGGAAGTAAAGCAGTCTGGTTCTGAACTTCTCATTGCTTTAAAAAACAAACAAACAAACTAGCATTATTGAGGCTGGTGCTACAGCATAGCAGATAAAGGCCTTCAGTGCTGGCATCCACTATAGCCACTAATTTGAGCTCCAGCTACTCTACTTCCACTCCAGCACCCTGATAATAGCCTGGGAAAGAAGCATAGGATGGCCTAAGTGCTTAGGCCCCCGCATGCATGTGCACGATCCAAAGGAAGCTTCTGGCTTTGGCTTGACTTGGCTTAACTCTAGCTAGTGCAACCATTTGGAGAGTGGATCTCTCTCTCTCTCTCTTTCCCTCTGTAATTCTACCTTTCAAGTAGATAGATTTTTATGAAGCTTTATTGAGATACAATTCACAGAGTAAGTTTTTCCAATCTAATATTTTGTTATTTTTAATATAATACATTTAATTTCCATTTTAGTCAAAGATTTAATGCTCCACTAAATAAAGACCTCAACAAACAAAAACATAAAAAGATTGTAGTTCAGCAGGAAAATAGACAAGTGTTAAAGCAATAACCAGATGTTCAATAAAAGACTTCAACTCCATTCATATAAAGTCAATTTAAAAGTCATCATGAAATCATGAAAACTACAGTAGCACATAATTCCTATCAATTTGTTTGACAAGATTTAGAACAAAGTTTGACAGAATCCTGGTATATGCAGCAAAACCACATACCATGTTTTCCATGTTTAAATTGCTTCGTCAGTGGTTTTGGTATATTCAGAGTTGTACACCCATCACTGCAACTTAACTATAAGAAATCTTCATTACTCCAGCTTAAAGCACCGTGCTATTAGCAGTTGCCCTCAATTTCCCCATCCTCTCAGGCTTCAGCAACTACTAATTTATGCTCTGTTCTTATGGATTTTTCTGGTTTGGACATTTCATCGGAATGGAATTTGTACAAGCTAATGAAAATGAATGAAAAAATACATTTATTTCAGCACAAGGCCTTTTAAAAAATTGTTTATTTTTTATTTGAAAGCAAATTTCTACAGAGAATAAAAGTGAGACAGAGAGAAATGTAAGACATCTCCTAGTTCACTCCCCAGATGGACACAACAGCCAGAACTAAGCTTGGAATCAGGAGCAACCATCAGCGTTAGTTGATTGGGGCAACAGACTATGCTGGACCCTGGCAAGCACACACAAGAATCAGGTCTGGGATCACCTCAGTTTTTTGGGGGATACCCCCAACAGAACTGCTAGACTCAGAAACCCAACTATGGAGAGAATTGTAAGTTCCATGATCTGATCTTGGAGTGAGTCAGAGCTGGGTCTCCTCAGTGGCTTAGATAGAGCAGTGGACAGCATATCCAGCTGCACATGGAGGCTATGGCAGTACATTGGAGCCTACAGAGGACACCTGGTAGCATAACAGAGAACAGAGGACAGAACACATTGATCAACTACCCCAACCAAATGTTGGCAGTGAATATCTGGGCAAATGGAGACTCTAAGGTGGACTGTGTCAACCAGTAGATTCTAGAGAGAGAGTTCGTCGTGCTTGGAGTGGTGAGATCAGCAGTAACTCGGAGCTGTTAAACTATCAAAACCTCTTGAGCAGGACCCTCAGAGCATGCCCCACATCAGGGACCCTGGGGTGGGGTTGGGTGACTGTCCTCCATCCCAGGGTACAAAGGTGTTTGGAAAGCTCGATGTGGCTTCTCTCTTTATCTTTCCTTTCCCCCAGATACAGGAAGGAAAAGAATGTGGAAATAATGGTCTTACCCACCTTCCTGTGTCTCTTGACCCTTATCACCCTAATTAACTATGTAAAAATCATCAAAATAAGTAAATAAGTAAGTCTTTAAAAATAAAATAAATTTTATCCTATTTTAAATATAAGATGATAGACAACAAGATTGAATGGTGTATCTAAGATGACATATTATGAAAGATGAAATAAGAACTTGACTCAGGTCTTCTGACTCCCGGTCCAGGCTCCTTCTTCTGCATCAAGCACTTTGACACCTGTTTTAGTGAGCTCCAAATTCTGCTTCATGAGACCTTCCTCTTACCTGCTGTGCATGTGATTCATCCAGGGATGCCAATGAAGGAATTTTACCCTGTTCCTAACCTCTTGGAATAACACATTTCTGTGCACTCCTGGCACACTGTACCTTGCAGCTGCTCAGGACCCTGCATTGATACCAGGCAGGGGCCACATGTTCACACGTGAAGTTGTTCCTCAGGATTGATTGCTTTTCTGCAGAAACTATCCAATGTCATCAACCATCCTTTCTGAGCAGAAAGGAGGGAAGAGATTGAGAAAGGGAGAGAGTGTGTAAGAGAAACACATATGGGGAGAGAGAGAAAGAGAGAGAGAGAGAATCTTATAGCTGTTGGTTCGTTTTTAAAAAGATTTGTTGTATTTTTTATTAGTAAGTCAGATTTACAGAGAAGAGAGACATAAAGAGAAATTTCTTCTGTTAGCTGGTTCACTCCCTAAGTGGCTGCAATTGCTGGAGCTGAGCCGATCTGAAGTCAGGAGCTGCTTCTGGGCTTTCCACAAGGGTGCAGGGTCCTAAGGCCTTGGACCATCTTCTCTTGCTTTCCTAGGCCACAATGAGGGAGCTGATTGAGAAGTGGAGAAGCCAGGATATAAGCCAGTGCCCATATGGGATTCTGGTAGATTCAAGGTGAGGATTTAGACACTGGGCTATCATGCTGGTCCCTGTAGGTTCATTTTTCAAACAGTTGCAATTGCCGAGTCTAGGCCAGGATGAATCCAGGAATATGGAACTTCATCCATGTATGCCACATGAATGGCAGGTTCTCAAGCACTTGAGGCATCATCTGCTGCTTTCACAGGCACATGAGGAGAACCTGGATTGGAAACAGAGCTGCTGGGATTACAGTTGGTCTCTGCTACGGGATGTAGCATTGCAAGTGATGCCTTAATCTGTTGTATTTCAACGCTGTGCCCAAGGCTCATTTTTTTTTTTTGAAGGGACTTATTTATTTGAAAGAGTAGGAGGGAAAGAAAGGTATCCCTCTCCAGATTGCAGCAATAGCTGGGGCTGGGCCAGACAGAAACAAAGAGCCAAGAACTCCACCCAGGTCTCCTACATGCATGGCAGGGACCCAAGTGCTTGAACCATGATCTGCTGCATCCCAGGTGTGCATTAATAGGATGTTGGAAGTGGAAAGGCCAAAAAACAAACAGTAGGTGATGCCAGAGCCCCAACCAGGGGATTTAACTTGATAAGTCTCCAAAATACTAATATAGCAGAGGATAAGTGCTCTTAAATGTAGAAAAAAGTCTATAAGGGTACAAAAAGTGTGAACACTTGATCAAGTCAATATTCCTATTTACGCAAATGTGTTCTCCCCTTGTTTATTTTTGAATGTGGCCTTGGAATGGTGAGATCTAACTTAATATCAATCCCATGGAAGTATAGCATTCCTTCCTAGCAATGAAAACATGCAGTAACATAGAGAGTGGATAAGAAACTTGTCTGGGCATCCGTCCCAAGTGGTAGAAGTTTTTCTCTTTCTAAGATTTACACATTTTCATTGGAAAGGCAGAGTAACCGAGCGAGGGAGAGACAGGAAGAGATCTTCCATCCATTGGTTTATTCCCCAATTGGCTGCAACAGCCAGAGCTAAGTTTATCTGAAGCCAGGAGCCAGGAACCTCCTTGGGTTCTCCTATGCAGGTGCAGGGTTCCAAGGCTTTGTACCATTCCCCACTTCTTTTATAAGGCCATAAGCAGAACTACTGGGTGGGAAGTGGTACAGCTGGGACACGAACCAGCACCCATACGGGATGTTGGCACTTGAAAATGAAGGATTAGCCAGTGGAGTCACCAGTGGAGCTATCATGTCAGCCCCAAGTGGAAGGGTTTTTAATTTCCATGCTTTCCATCTCTAGTCAGCTGTAGCAGGAGGCCTTTTGGATACCTTTCTCTGCTAGGGGAGGCAACATCACACGCTGGAGTATGTTTAGCAATGCGTCAGGGGGCTTATGTTAGAAATATTATGAGAAAACAACTGGTTCCTCTGAAGGGGAAGGAAATAAGGTCTTTGGTGTGCTGCTGTTTTCTGCCAAGTATGATCCCTCTGCAATGTGCATGCATGCGAAGCGAGTCTCTATGCCCATGGTTACTAAGCTGTCTGTGTGTTGTCGTAGGTCGTCACTACAGGAAAGGAACAACTGGATTTTGAAACAGGACCAAAAATATTTGACTTGCAGATTTATGTTAAGGATGAGATTGGTGTCACAGACTTACAAGTCCTGACTGTCCAGGTAACAGATGTGAATGAGCCTCCTCAGTTTCCAGGCAAGATGGCCAAAGGTAAGATACACTGAGGTATTTGATGCAGCCTAGAAGGTGGCAGCAGGGAGAACCTGGGAGAATGCAGAAAAACACAGAAGTAAATAAGCAAGCAGCTGTTTGCTTGGCAAAGGCAGCTGTTTAATGAGCAGGGAATCTCTGAAATGAGCTCTTGTTCAGCACGCCCAACAATAATGCCCAACTGTGTGCAAAGCCCTTCACGTCCACTGTGTATCTTGGTCTTTTCTGAGCTGGAAGGAAAGCGAGGCTCAAGGGACCTCAAATGGATCTTTCTTGAGAGACCGAGGCTGAGCCCGTCAAAGGTTCTTTTTCGTAGGCAAGGGGGCTTCTAAAGGTGGTAGAAAACAAGGAAGGAAAAGACAACCTGATTTTAATGTGAACACTTTGAGATCCCTTTCTCACGGCCTTTAGGAAGACCTGTCACATGGTGGTCATTGACTGGCTTCTTCACTCCCACGAGGGCAGTGTGTGTCCAGGGGCTGCCACAGGGTTGGGACAGTGCCAGAGACCAGAGCAGAGAGTAACTTCACCCAAGCTCTTGATTTTGAACACCACCCATATGCTGACAACCCCCACGTTTGTCATTTCAGTCAAGGTCTTCCTCTCAACTCAGATGTTCATTTGTCTTGCCCAATATCTGTGTCTTGGATGTCTGATCTCAAACTCAACGTGCCCCTAAATCAAACTCTTGACTTTGACAAAAGCCCTCTGCCCTTGGCCAGTTCTGTTTCTCCTGAATTCTTCCCATGTTCATTGTTGTGGCAACCCCATCCTTCCAATTGTGTCAGTGTGAGTCATCCTTGAATCTTTCGCTAAAGATTAATTGTTTTCTAAATAATTAGAAAATCTCATCAGCCTCTGTTTACCTCCAGTATCAAAGCCTTCCCACTGCTACCATGGCCCAAGCCCCATTCATGTCTATTAGGTGGCTGCACTGGCCAACTGGTTGACCTCTTGCTCCTGCCTTTGCCCACTCCAGTCTATTTCTACAGCAGCCAGAAGGAGCCTATGGAAATGTCAGTGAAATCAAGGCATTCTTTTCTCTCAAATCTTTTATGAAATCTCCTGCCACTAAAAGGAGAGCCAGTCTCCTTCCTCAGAACCATTGGTCTCCTTACTGGATGGTGAATGCCCAGTAACCACCTTATCACATATGTTTGCCTCTTCCTTATTCTGCTGTTTCCAACTCCTCAGTGGGCCTCCTGCTCCCTCCTGTCACCAACAGTACCCTAGGCCATCTCTCAGTGAAAGACATAGGTAAAGACTTGCCACCAGTCCAGCCCATCCTAGCACTTTATTAATTCCCATAAACAGGTGCACGCTGGGAAATGCATATATAAGTAGCTTTTTCTGATGCATCCTTCTTTCTTTATTTTCTTTTTTAAAGATGTAATTTGCTTATTTGAAAGGCACAGGGGAGAGAGAGAGAGAGAGAATGAATCTTCCATGTGTTGGCTCACTCCCCAAATGGCCACAGTGGTCATGGCTGGCTAGGTCTAAATCCAGCAGCCAGGAGCCAGGAGCTGCTCCCTTGCAGTGCAAGGACACAAGCACTTGAGCCATTCTCTGCTGATTTCCCAGGCACTGGGAGCTAAATCACAAGTGGAACAATGGGGACTACAACTGGCCCCCATATGGAAATGTTGGCCAGCACTGCAGGTGGGCAGCTTAAGAAGCAGTACCCAGTGCCAGCCTCCTCCTCTCTTTCTTATAAAGCCTACCCATTTGTTTCCCTAAGGCTCTGGTATTGGAATTCCCCCTTTGCTTCACTGATTAAAATGTTTCTTGCACTTTGGATGCCAATCTAGGTCTAAACCTGTACGTAGCAGAAGGAATAAAGCCCGGCTTAATTTACCAGGTTGAGGCCTCCGATCCAGAAGATACGAGACGCAATGTACCACTCAGTGTAAGTCTGCTTGGGGAATGGAAGGAGGGTTTGTCCACTTGGGCTGTGGCCCAGCAGCCAGTGCCCTGAGTCTTGATGGGATGGGGTGGAAGGAAGTTGGATTGTGGCACCAGGTACATTGTGTTGCTCACTTCTGAAAAACAGAAAGTAGGGGGTAGTTGGGGCAGGCAGGTGGGATCTGGAGACTGACTGCCACCCCCCACCCACCCATCCCAGCCTGGGTTGTGGCTTCAGGTGATCTCAGCCAATATTTCAACTTCTCTGGGCTGTTTTCCCGTGTGTGACACAGGAAGGCCAGTGGGGCCTATGGCAGTCTACTTAATACTCACTGAGCATGAGTCCTGGCACATAGAAGCTACATGGTTTTTGGAAAACTGAGATTGTTAAACATCTACCTATATTGTATATAAAGTAAGCCCTAAACAAACACTCCAAAGCCGGGCATTGATGTAGCTTTTTTGAGAGATGGACCAACCTGCTTGGAGCCAAGTTTAAAACAAAAAATAAAAACTAAAAAAACTTTAGAAATTCCAGGTTCTGGAGTTGGAGACTGGGTCCTGGAGAGAGGGGCATCGTGGATTGATCTGAGATAGCTGCTGTCCCTCTAATCCCTTTCTAGTCAGTTTCCTTAATGGAACACTGTTACAGCCACTGAATTCCTACCTTCTTTGTAGGCACAGATGCCCAGCTCCTTCTTCTGCCCACTAATGTGCTTTGCACAATGCCCTGCAGCCAAACAGCCCCTGTTAGAGTGGGGAAAAAAAAGACTCTGCCAGCTAGCCTTGAGGCAGTACTCTTACCAACCTGCCTTCCACAGAAGAGAACCTGTAAATCATGACCTGCAGGAATTGTTAAGACCAGGCGCTGTTTCTACTGCCAGCTATATGATAGGCAGCTTGAGCAGGAGTTCTTCTAACAGGATGAAGTGAGCCTTGGGAGTGACCTCCCGGACCAAGATAGCATGGTCCATAGGTCATGGGACAAAGCTGTGGCAAGAAGGTTAGATACACCTTAAAGCTAGGGGAATGTCTGTTTAATTAAGAATTGATCCTCCCCCTAATCAACTATGTAAAAATCATCAAAATAAAATAATAAAAAAGAAATGATCCTTCTGTCCAAAATTTTAGAAAATCATTCATTCATTCATCCATTCAAGACTCATAAGCTTCGTGGAGAAGAGGTCTGAGTGACCTTCTGGCTTTTGTGGTTTTATCAGTTGCCAGGGAGCCGTGTTTTAGCAGTACCATTCTGAGCCCTGACACAGCTTACACCAAAGAATTACAATTCAGTATCATTACTGGAAAGTTTGTATAAGATGATGTAGCAGAGGCAAATTAGAAGGAACTGAGTAGTAGAGACAGATATTGGTTTTTAAATCTATTTTTTTTATTGTTAATAACATTGTATTATGTGATACAGTTTTATAGGTACTGGGATTCCCCACCCTCACCCCTCCTAAATCTATTTTTAAATTTATTTCCAAATAATGCACATAGAGCAAGGTCATGGACCTTTTAAAAACACCTATTAGACAAAGGATGGCTCCCATAGGCAACAACTACGGTAGGTGGTGCTTGTTTTGGAAATGAAGGGTGGCATGCAGGGCTTGGCCCAGTGCCTGGAGCTGTGGTTTCCATGTGGAGGGTGGGGGCTGTTTGGGCAGGGTGTGCTCAGTTGTGGCAGGAAGGGTTCACAATGTGTTTCACACCTGTGCTGGAATGAGCTTCACAGAAAGCCCACAGCCAGCCTGCGGGAGCAGGGATTAGGAGCTGGAAGGGGATTTTCTCAGACTAGAAAAAGGTGGTAACAGTTCTGGAAATAACTTATCCTGGCCTTTGTACTTCACTGTTTCATTTGGGGCACATAGTGACAAATTTTGCTCTGTACGGGGAGAAAGGAGATGAGTTCATCTGCTATTGGCCTTTGGCTGTGAAGTGAAGCCACCATCAGTGCTTTTGTTTTGTTTTTTTTTTAAATATATACACAAATGCTGTTGGTCTGGGATGTGGTTGGAGCGCCGGGATTTTTATTTGTCTCCAAGTCATCTCCGGCGTTGCCAGGGTGAGAACTGTCGCCCTAAGACATTGCCTCCCCGCAATTTCCCCAAGGTAGTTTGAACACAGAGAAGAGTAAGACAAATTTAACCAAGAATTTTACTGGAAACATGGCAAGGTTCCCAGCCGACACCCTTAACAACCACAGACTTACAGACTTAGGAGAGGAAAACATCACACATATTGATCCGAGTCAAGTTTCCTTGGACTTTTGCAGTTACAGATTCTGGGGGGTCTGAAGTGAGTGTGGGAATCTGCATATTGGCCAAACGCTCCTGATGATTGGTTCTTCTGGTCAGAAAGGCAGGGGACACACGTGTAGAAGTGTTTCTCAGATTGCGAGGTTGTTATTTGGGCGGCTTTCAACAAACAGATGGGCTGCTATGAGAACACCCAGCTGAGCCCAAATACCATCTCCACAGGTGACTCTGATGAAGGCTGCGTTGTGATAACCAGTGAATGGACAAACTCTAAGAAAGCAGCGAGTGTGCTTCCAAAGCCCGGAGCCCCCTCTCTTTGTGCTGGAAATCCTAACTGGTGGGGGCTCGGGGAGCCATCTTACTTGTGGCAGCAATGGAGATTGAAGAATGCATTTGGAAAAAACAGCACTAGGACGTGCTCTAAAGCCCTGACTTCTTAGAATGGCACATCTTACAACCCTATTGAGCTGAATGAAGTGAAACTGGGTTACAGATAGGGGCTAACCCAGGGACCCCTGGGATTGATTACTTTTTTAGATGCGTTTATTTTGTTGAAAGGCAAAGTGGTAGAGAAAGAGGGAGAGACAGAGAGAGAGAACGAGAGACCTTCTATCCACTGGTTCACTCCCAAAATGATCAGAATGGCTAAAGCTAAGGATTCGGAAACCTCATCCAGTTTTTGCATGAGTGTCAGAGTCCCAAGCGTGTGAGCCATCTTGTGATGCTTTCCCAGGAGCACTAGCAGGACGCTGGATCAGAAGCAAAGGATACGTGACGCTGGCATTGTAGGTGGCGGCTTAATTTACAGCAGCACCACAACACCAGCCCTACTAGTATTTTTTTTTTAAGATTTATTTTTTATTTTTTATTGGAAAGGCAGATATACAGAGAGGAGAGACAGAGAGGAAGATCTTCTGTCCGATGATTCACTCCCCAAGTGAGCGCAACGGCCGATGCTATGCCGATCCGAAGCCAGGAGCCTCTTCCGGGTCTCCCACATGGGTGCAGGGTCCCAAAGCTTTGGGCCGTCCTTGACTGCTTTCCCGGGCCACAGGCAGGGAGCTGGATGGGAAGCAGGGCTGCCGGGATTAGAACCGGCACCCATATGGGATCCCAGGTTCCTGGTTCCCGGCTTTGGATCGGCACAGCACCAGCCGTCGCGGCTCACTTGGGGAGTGAATCACCGGACAGAAGATCTTCCTCTCTGTCTCTCCTCCTCTCTGTATATCTGACTTTGTAATAAAAATGAATAAATCTTAAAAAAAAAAGATTGATTTATTTTCACTGGAAAGGCAGCTTTACAGAAAGAAGGAGAGACAGAATGATCTTCCATCTGCTGATTCACTCCCCAAGTGGCCGCGATGGCTGGAGCCAGGAGCTTCTTCCGGGTCTCCTATGTGGTTGCAGGGTCCCAAGGCTTTGGACCACCCTTTACTGCTTTCCCAGGCCACAAGCAGGCAGCTGGATGGCAACTGGTGCAGCTAGGACACAAACCAGCTCCCATATGCCATCCCAGTGCATGCAAGGTGAGGACTTTAGTTACTAGGCTACCGCACTGGGCCCAACCTGTTTCCTCTTAAAAGCATTTAGGCATTGGCCTATTACCCACTTGGTTCACTTTCCCAACAAGACAACTCAGGTAGGAACTTGTGCTGGGAAGTTTTAAATGGCAGTACGTTTTCCTCCAAGGCACCTCTTCCTCTTTCTTCCCTGCCTCTCATCTCAGAGCTGGCATGGGGGTGGAATACAGAGAGAGAGAGAGAGAGAAGTCTGCTAATTCCTCCGTTTAAACCTAGAACTATACTAGGATTTGTGGTACACCAGGCTTGTACCTGGCCAAGGCCCAGCTGGAAGACTTTGCTGTGTGCAGCCATGGCCCCCTGGGTGGGCCTGGGACCCTGGGCTCAGTACCTTATGCTATTCTCAACACTTCTTGCCCTAGGAAGAATAAGAATTTTTAAAAGATTTATTTATTTTTTATTTGAAAGACAGAGTTACATGGGGAGAAAGGGACTTAGACACACACACACACACACAGAAAATCATTCTTTGGCTGTTTTGCTGCCTAAATGGCTGCAATGGCCAGAGCTGGGCAGATCTGAACACTGGAGCCAAGGGCTTCTTCTGGGTCTCTCACCTGGATTCAGGGGCCCAGGACTTGAGCTACCCTCAGCTGCTTTATCAGTCAGGGAGCTGGATTGGATGTGGAGCTGCTGGGACTCAAACCAGTGTCCAGTGCCCGCATGGGATGCTGGTGCTGCCAGCAAAGTCTTAGTCTGCTATGCATTGGCGCCAGTCCCAGAATAAAACTTGCATATCATGAATTTGAAAGGTGTTTCTTTCCCTCTTGAAACAGCCCAGGATGACCTGCAGGAGATGGGAAGCTGAATTTTGCCATCACTACAGATGGGAAAGCAAATGACAGCCACAGTGATTCAACTACAGTAGATTCAACTGCCTGCAGGTGGCGTGTTCCCCTACTCCACACCCCAACGCCCTGGGAGCTGTCATTTTCAGGGAGGCTGGACCAGTCCCCTCCCACCTGCAGCGCAGGAAAGATGGGCTCCTTGCCTTTCAAATGGAGGCTTTTGTGTCCCAGAGCTGTGAAGGGACTGCGAATAGAGAGAGCTGGGTGGTGGAAAGGGGGTACCAGCAGGCAGAGCCAGGACGGTTGTCTTCCAGCATTTGTTAACTGAATTGATCTGCTGACTCAGGCCTTCTCAGCCAGTCCTGGGGCAGAGAGGGGCTGCCTCAGCTTTTCATTCTATTTAATTTCTGTTTTCCAAGAGTGAATATCAAGGGAGCAGCTCTGATTAAACAACGCCTTAAAAAGGAGGGAGAGTGCCAGGTTTTACAGAAAGCCTTTACTGCATCGCTGGCAAACAGCCACACGACGCAGTATTTTCAGGCTATGGATATTACCTCCTTTCTGAGTACAAAAGTGCTATTCCCATTAACACAGCTCATGGGTTCAGGGAAGGGAGAAATTAGCCTGGTGGTATAAAAGGTGGGGGATGTGTGTGAATGAAGATTCCAGGAAATCAACCTCTTACTGGAAACTGGAAATTCTCATGTCCCTAGTTGCCTGCTTCTCCACCCTCTTTCTATCAGCTACAGCAGTTACAGGTTCTTTTTTAAAAAATTATTTGAAAGGCAGAATTTCACACAGAGGAAGGGACAAAAAAGAGATCTTCCATCTGCTGAGTACCTGGCTCAGTGATCTACGGCTTTGAGGCTAGAGCATCCCTCACCCTGGCAGGAAGTGATGGAACCTTTTAACCTTATAGCCCTTTGGTACAAATAAATATGAATGTTGAAGTCTTGGGAACTGTGGTGGCCCTTCCTGCAGTACTGCATGAGTTGTCATCTAATCCTTCCAGTAGCGTGGAGAAGCCATGGGTGGCATCTTCCCTAAGTTGTGGGCAAGGATGGAACTTGTCTCAGGTCTGATGGGGAGGACCAGAACTGGACCCACCTCTGTTGATGGTGTTGACTAGAGCCAATACCTAGACTCAAAGCCAAGAGTTGTCTGGAGACAGAAATGAGAACACAAGGACAGGGTTAAGGAGCCTGCACTTAGAGCCAGCCCAGTGAGGGGCAAGTGTGTGCTTCCTAAAACTAAAGAAGGATCCAATGACCATATCCTCCGGGCCCAAGGCTCACAGCAGCAAATCCAGAAACTTCCTGGCTCTACAGCCACCAAGTCCAACAACTGCCCATTTAGACCTCATCTGGACCCCTCAAGAAGGTTCCATCTGCCAAGATTATTAAGAGAAATGGAAACAACACAATTTCTGGAGAAAGGTGTACTGGTATGCTGGTTTAATTGCTTTCCTCCTCTTTGTGCTTTAGTATTTCCTGATTTCTCCTTCGAAGAACTTCAGGATGTCTGCCAATGGCACCCTCTTCTCCACCACAGAACTGGACTTCGAAGCAGGACACAGCAGGTATCCTTGCCCATGACCTTTCTGCAAGAACTGTTCACCTGAAGCCAAGGAAAACGTGAGGGAGCAGACAGCACAGATGGGTGTAGGGCAGTGAGCCTCAGAGGCAAACAGGGCAGGAGACGGTCATCTGAGAGGCTTGTTTCCCATCCCAAATCTTCATCTGCAGGTGATAAGGGTGCCCATCACCAGGGCAATGGTTCAGAGCTGTCTCTGGTGTGGGCAAAATGAGGCAGTAGGGCAAATGGACTGCTGAATGCCAGAGCAGCGTGGAAGCAAAGCAACAGGGCTGTGGTCTAGCAGGTGAGACTCCTGGCTCTGCATCAGGTGCAGGAACTAGGGCTTGTTACTGATACCCATAGGAGCCTCATTGCTCCCTTGTGAGTGTGACACCTGCTTTGCAGAATGGGGACCGCACAGAGCGTGCCCTGTGGCTGGCCTGAGCAAGAGGGCAGGCCTAGGAAGTGGTAGCTGGGAAGAGCAGCTGCAAAGAGAGACATCCGCCCCCCCTCCCCCCCCCCCCCGCCAGAGAAGAGGAGTGGGAGGGGACACAGCAGGTGTGATGTCTGCTGCCATTACTCCTCCAGTCCTGTGTGCTGCCCCGCGCCCCTGCCCCAATTCCACTTAATCTGCTAGGAAGGAGTATCAGCAAGGTCTGGTCCTTTCCCTTGGAACGTTCTCCCCTCCAACACCACCCCCCCATTCCTTCTGGCAGTTTCCATCTCATTGTGGAGGTGAGAGACAGCGGCGGCCTAAGAGCCTCCACTGCACTCCACGTGAACGTCGTGAACATCAATGATGAGATCCCTCGCTTCACCAGGTAAGGCCAAAGGGCAAACAGAGCTCCTTGGCTGGCCCTGGACACACCCTAAACAAGGCAGGGGGTGCCCTCTCTCTGGCTGGAGGGAAAGAGAGAGAGTGAGCTCGTCAGGGCTTTTTACAAGGGCTTCTGTCTTCCACCTCCTGCCCTTCTGCATTTGCACTCACCATGGGACTATGGAAATGGCTGAAGATAACAGTGGACCCGCAATGTCCCTGATGCATGGATTACCACTGTGCCCATGTCCAAGGTCAGTACCAGACACACACTCTATTAATAAAATGCACTGGCTTCATGACAGCAGAATCTTGGAGTGTACTCTGTCTCATTCTCAGGGTGACAGTGTCTGTTGTTTTACATATTTATTTATTTTAATTGGAAAGGTGGAGTTGCAGAAAGGGAGACAGAGAGAGATCCTCCATATTCTATTTCACTATCCAAATGGCCAAAATGGCCAGGGCTAAGCCATTCCAAAGCTAGGAACCTAGAGCTACTTTCAGATCTCTCACTTGGGTGCAGGAACCCAAGGACTTGGACCATGCTCTGCTGCTTTCCCTGGCACTTTAGCAGGGAGATGGATGGGAAGCAGAGCAGCTGGGACACAAACCAGAGCCAATATGGGATGCCAGAACCAAAGGCAGAGGCGAGGTTTAATCTACTAGGCCAGTGTGCCAACTCTGACAGGTGTGTTCTAATGGTGCCTAAAGCGGCACCTGCTCGTGACTGGGAGTAAGGGTGGGTGTAGGGGTGGAGAAAGGCCCCCATGTTTCTTGCTGCCCTGGTAAATCCAGAAGGAGACCTGGCTGCATCTGATAGCTCCACTAGGCAGAGCAAGGGCAGGAAGGGGAGTGTGTCTAGGAGGGGACAGCCTCTGGGAATTCCAGGCATAAAAAGGCGACAAGAGGCTGTTGCAGGTGGCATTTGGAGGAAACAATAGGACAGTGAGCTGGCAAACGACCTTTCATCCAGCCCAGTTGTCTGAGTGCGGGAACCGTGCCTGCCTCTAGTCCCAAAAGGTGTGTGAGAGCCAGTCACGAGGGAAACAACCCTATCACCTACCTGGTTTAACTGCACTAATGGCTGTGAGTAAGCAGCATAGCAGTGAGCCCTGGGGACACAATGATCTGTCACTCAAAAAAAAAAAAAAAAAAAACAATGAAAGCGCTCATGCTGCAGAGCTAGGTAGAGTGTTTGCAGAAATAGGCTGAGATGGCAACAGTTCAGGTCACCCTTTTCCCAGGTCGACCTGTTGCCGCTTTGCAGATCAACCACCCCTGGGAGCCTTCTGGATGCCACACTAGGTCCAGCCCAAGAGTCAGCATGCAGGGAGGAGTGGCACATGTGCTCTCACGGGTTGCTGCCCATCAGTGCCCACTGCTAGGTCAGGATCCTTAGAGGACAAAAGGGGGTTGTACTGACAGGTGACTCACGTGACAGGTGACAGTCCAGGCATCCCAACCTGGATCCATCAGCCATGTGGGTCCTTCAGAGACAACCCGCCCCCTCCTCCTGAGGAAGGTGATGGCTATGTGCCCTCCACACCCACCCTGTGTGTAAAATGGGGAGGCAGGTTAACAGGGTTGTAAAGGGGAAAACAGTCCACTTTCCCTAGGACAGAGCCTGTAAACCATCTGGATTGGACTCTATCTTCCAATAAAACAATTGATTTTGACCAAGAGAAAGCCCGGCTCGTTTGGATGTGAGGATGTGCAGAGGTCAGACTGGAGCACTCTCAGTTTTGATTTGTAGGATGAAACTATTAAGTCCTACATCCAGAAAGACGGTGTGTCCCATGCAACTGTCTAATTTTCTTTTTTGAAGCATTTAGCTTTATCTCAAACAGAATTCAGTAGGTGGCAGCAGGCAGAAGGAGGATTTGGGGCAGGATGTCTCCCTGACCAATCAGGGCCAGCCCCATCCCTCGTTGTCAAACAAGGCGCTGGTTCCGAGGGCTCTCGTGGTGCTCTTGCACTGTAGCTCCTCCTTTCCCTCAGTGCTCACTACAAAGTGCTCAATTCAGGGTTAACACCAGGCAAGCCTCAAGGAAACTAGGGACCTGTGGAGAGGCAGTCCTTCTGGCTTTATGAAGGAATATAGGCGTTTGTAGAGTCAGTGCAGCCAAAGCAGGTGCCACCTCTATTGTGGGAAATCACTCGCCATTTGAGCCCTTGGTGGCCAGTGTCCCACTGTTTAGTGAGCCCAGAGCGTGCCTTCCAGGAGTCTAAAATCTTGTTATGGGTGAACCTGACTTCCACCTGTTTGGCAGAATGTTTTATTTTAGGGTGGTCAGGTGGGACTCTCCCTCTCCTTCCTGTTTCTTTTCTATTTACTCACAGTCCTTTCCCACTTGCCAGTGTCATGCACACCACAGACAGTGAATACTCAGACCTAAAGGAAATCATTCATGGCCACCCTTTGCCGTGAACATGACCTTGGGCCATCACCTGTACCTCATCCAAGCTCTCTGGTGTGAAGGGGTTGGGAGAGAAGAGTGCAGGTGTGCAGGTGGTGTCAGACCTGTTCCCTCCCCGCCCCGGCCTGCCCCCCCTCTCTGCTTTGCATGGATCTCTGGCTGCACCTTTATGATGAATGATGTATTGCACTTGGACATTGGACCCCCACAAAGATTTTATGCTGTGCCAGGCTCAGCTTCTCTAGACCAAACAGCCTGGGCAGTCCCCATAATGGGACCTGCTTTCCTGGTGTAGCCAGCATGGAAAGGATGTATCACAGGCATTTTGAGCCGGGTGCTTCTTCATGATGGGGCCATCCTAGGTCCCGCTGGGTGCCTAGTGACATCTCGGGCTTTTTTACTCCTGGAGGCTGATACCAGCTGCTTTCCCCCGAGCTAACCTGGTGCCACTCTGCCAACTAATCACACTTGTGACCCTTCTGGAGGTTCACATGGCACACAGGCCAGGCTGCCAGGCACGGAAGTGGAGAGAACAGCAGAGAAACACTCTACACAATGCCAGCCAACAATACTGATCGCCAACACAAAATGCACCCCTGTGCTGAGACCCACTTCCTTGAGAGGAGGGAGTGTGTGTGTGTGTGTGTGTGTGTGTGTGTGTGTGTGTGTGTGTAGGGAGGGATTGTCCCTTCTGGGAGCCTGTGATGTTCACCTGTGGCCCTGGGCAGGCGCATCAGTGATCTCTCTATTGGCAGCTAACAGAAGCCACTCACACAGAATGGGCAGAGAGGAAGTGCACAGCCAACTATAAAGGATCTGGGGTCTCCTTTGTCTCCTGGCTCTGGATTAGTTCCTGCCACCCCTGCCTCTTTGATCCGACCCATTTTGCCTGTTCATGGGTGGGATGGGAGCAGGGAGAGAATCACCCTGGGAAGAGGCTTTGGCAGCTAAGCATGAGGGGTATGGGTCCTCCCTTGGTGGACACTGGGTGAGAAGGACCAGTGTGGTGGAAGAACAAGATAACTGCTCCTCCTGATCTGAAGGTGCCCGCAGGAGGTCACTGCACAGGTTGGGGAGAGGTGATCTAGAACCCCAGGAGGAGGAGACCAGATGGGGAGGCACTGTGGTAAGGGACTGGTCCCAACCATTCTCTACCTGCTGCTCACCCTGCCTGGATTCCCTCTTGTTTCTCTTCTTCGGGCTCTACCTACCACATAGGAACAGGATGCTGTAAAGCTACAGCAATGACCCCAACTCCCAAAATGAACATCCTACATCTTTGTCACCACCACAGGCTGTGTGGACATCATCCTTGGGTGGTCTTTTAGAGCTGGTGTCTCTTTAAGGGGATCCTACACAGGAAAATCGCAATTCCGGAAACTGGGGAACTAGAGATGACTGTCTGCCCCAGCACTGAAATTCAGTCCTCCACCCCTCCCCTTGCAGAGCTAAAGACCATACTTCCCTCAGCGCATGCATAATGACCCAGTTTACCCAAATGGTGTAGTTGCAGCTTTTGACCTCTCTGCTTCACTACTGCTCTTTTCCCAAGGTAGTGGAGGTCTGAGAAAGATGGGTAAGCCAAAACTTGACCTGTTGTCCTTGGAGCACTCTGCCTGACCTTGTTTCCTGCCAGGGGTGGCGAGAGTGCGCCTACCACTTAGTTCAGAAAACTGACCTCCCAGGGAATCAACTAGGAGAGGTGCACAACTTCTGTGCATGAATTCTGTATCCTCGTAAAGGAAAACAACAACAAAAATAAATATAGATAAGCAGTGCTGCAGCTTTTCTGGTGTCTTCTGTATTGGGAGCCAAGAACAAACAAGACAGCCTGCAGTCCTGAGCCTTGTATCCAAAGGCATTGTGAGAAGAATTCAGAGGATTTTCACATAAATGTCAAAGGGATGAGAGAAGACAGCCAGGTAATCGACTATGCTTGTCTGAAAAGATGCGAACTCACAGACTGATGTGAAATGGCATCAGCAGGTGCACACAGAGCCTGAGACCATGGCCCTGTCCATTGTTCCAATCACGGCATGATGCTTTCTTTGCATCCACGGGGATGTGATCTTGGCAAACACAAAAGTCGGTTACCCTTCTTTTCAGCTGCTGTGTTCCCCTGGAGCCTGTTGATGCAACTTAAACAGCTCAGCGCTATATTTAGCACTCACCAAAATACCCAACCGCTCCGACTCCACTCTCCCGTACCCCTGAAAATGAGCTGTGTCTGCTGTATTTCTATTCCAGCCTGACACGGGTGTACAAGATCCCAGAGGAGCTGACTGTAGGAACCATTGTGGCTAATATCACTGCGGAGGATCCTGATGACAACATTTCCCCCAGTCACCTCCTCTACAGCATCACCACAAGCAGCAGCTATTTTATGATAAACCAGTGTAAGTTACACACACACACACACACTCTGGTCTGGGGTATGCATTTCTGCCTGTCACCATCCTTGGTCACCAGGATCACAGGTGTAGTAGCAGCAGGTGGCAGGGAGGGTGAGGGGATTGAACAGAACCCTGTATCAACAGCTCTGTCACCTTTCGCCTTTGTAGAGATTTCCTTTATCATCCAGGATTGGATTCATGGCTGAGATTCCTTACAACAAAATACAGATTAACAAGAGAAAAGCATACACATGCAGTCAGTGTAAGTTTCAAGTGACAGAAGGGAATGACCCAAAGAAACAAGGAACACATGTAGATTTATTTATTTTTACAAAATTTAGAGTGAGCAAGAGAGAGAGAATCTCCTATCTGCTGCTCACTCCCCAGATCTGTGCAGCAGTCATGGGAGCCAGGAATTCAGACTGGGTCTCCCATATACCCAAACACTGGAGCCACCCCTTGCTGCCTTCCCCATTGTGTATTAGCATGAAGCTATCACTGGGAGGATGATGAGGCTCCAGCTCAGGCACGCTGATCCAGGATGTGGGCATCCCGAGCAGCACTTAGCTATCGCACAAAATGTTTTGAGTTGTTGGAGAAGTGCATTATTGCGAAGTACGATTGGAGGATGTGAAGGGTATGAGCTGACGGCCATAAACTAGGAAAAATGAGCAAAGCTTGTCTGTTCACATCTGGCTCCTCTGTGTGTTCCTGGATAAGAATGCACCTTTATGATGGGGAATAGGGACCCTTACAGATAAAGGTCTTTCAGCCAGTCCAGAAGAAATCCAGAGCTACTTCAGGGCAAAAGGACAGGATAGGGTCAAGGCACCTTCCTGCTCCCACAGGTTTCCCACACACCAAGGTGACATACCTTGAGACAGCATGTCCTGAATGCCATCTTGTTTGAGAAGGGCAGCAGTGTGAAGATGGCTGAGTTACCTACTGTCAGGGTGCCCTAAAGTTTCCTAAAAAGAGACTCTAAACCAGTATCAAGACAGACTGGAGCCAAATACATAATTTCAAATTCTCACACAGCCATACATTAAAAAAAGAAGAAATAGATGATATTAATATTAACAACGCACTTCATTTAACCCAAGAAATTTAAATACTACCCAGGAGCCAGGAATTCCATCAAGTCTTTTTGTGGGTGGCATGGATCCAAGTTCTTGGGCCAACATCTGCCACCTTCGCAGGTGCATTAGTTGGATCAGAAGTGGAGCAGCCAGGCCTCAAAGCAGTGCTTTGATGAGGGAATCTGATGTTGTAAGTGGCAGCTTCACTCGCTGTGCCACGAGGCAGGGTTCCAACTTGTTTTAAAAGGGTCACGTTTCAACCTTTGCCTTTTAGTGACTGGTACAATCCAAGTGGCCCAGAGGATAGACCGAGACACAGGTGAATTAAGACAAAACGCTGCAATTTCTCTGGAGGTTCTGGTGAAGGACCGCCCCGTGGGGGGGCAGGAGAACCGCATGCAGGTCACCTTCATCGTGGAAGATGTCAATGACAGCCCGGCAGCATGCACCAAGTTCATCTTCAGGTATCCGCACTGGAGAATGGGCAGGGGGAGGCGGGACTGCACCTTTCACAGTTTGGCTGGCCTGCCACCCTGGGGCTTCTCTGAAGAAGGGGGATAGAGAGGGCTGTGACTTGCTGCCTTACATGGGTTTGAATGATCAGTTTTGTGTCTAGGTTTGTCAAATTGTCCTCCTTTTTCCTTCCCTCTTGTTCGTGTGCCTTCCTCTCCATTCTTTCCCCTCTCCACTTGCAAACCCTGTTTGGAATTATTTTTTTATTTTGTTCCCTTCTCTAACACATTCATCTCTGCTCAGGCATAGTGCCACAGAGACTTGTTAGACCCTCCCTGGACTGTCCCTTCACTCTCCAGATTGCCACCCGTGGCCAGATGGCGCTGTTAGTTAGTGGGTATAGTAGATGCTCGAGACTTAGGGTTAGTAACTAGGAGCTCCCCACAACATAAACCGGCAGTAAGAGGAATAAATCAAACCAAGACTTGCATAAAACCTAAAAAAGCCTGCAATTCGTTTTGCACAACCTAATTGCTCATAAGCAAAAGGCAACCAGAGGGAGAGAAACACAGGCCTAAGTGGGATCTGTCTTATTTTGTATATTTGGACTTTTGCTTACTTGTTTGTTTTGCAGTCTATTCAATGTTATTTAAGAATAAAGCCTCCCCCTGCAAAAAAAGAATAAAGTCCCTTGTAGCTCTGATTGGTATGTGCCCTTTTGAAAACAGTATTGCCATTCTACTAACTATTTGGTCAAAAGGTCCCAAGATTAATCACTGCTTGGGTTAGGTCTGTGGTCTCATGGGCTCTGGATTCTGGGAGCACCTGGAAGCGGCTCCTGGATGTTGGGGAGCCTTGCTCAGTGACTGCCGTGCTTCTCGGAGCTAGCTCAAGAGTTCAGTGAGTTTCTCCCAGGTGTCCCCAAGAAGACACTTTCCTGAGTCTGTCTTCAGCTTTTATAAGTTTGCTCCAGGTGACTTTGGGCAGGTGACTTTTTGGAAAAAAAGCAATACTCACCGCTTGCACCATCCCCAGCAGGCCACGAATGCGTGGCCCCAGGTTACAGGGAAAAAGTGGTTCAGAGCAATGTCAAGGCCCACCCAGGAAAGGTGATACCTACAGATGGGAGGGGGTATCCATTGTTGGCATAAGCCTTTAAAATAAAATGAAAATACAATAATTAAGGTGATGAGGATGGTACATAGTGTAAGGTATCCTGCAGATCCAAGGTGGGATATTGAGAGGAATGACTTAAAGGCATTGAAACAGGATCCTTCTGGTTGTGGTTTTAAAAATAGTCTGCAAAGAGCCAAGGGCAGAAGCAGGGGGACTAGTGAAGAGGTGTCTGCAATAACTATGGATTTGGAATTAAAGTGGCAGTGTCTAGCCAAGAGCCTTCAGTCTGTACTTTCCTGGGAAAAATACTGAATCATCATGTTTCTCTGTCAGCGTGCTGGTGCCTGAAAGAGCAGCCAACGGCACGCTGCTCCTGGACCTGAACCCGTTCTGCTTCGATGAGGACAGTGATGCACCGAACAACAAGTTCAACTTCAGCACTCCATCCGGAGCAGGGAGCAGCGGCAGATTTTCACAGGAGCCAGCTGGCTCTGGAAAAATTGTGGTCAGTTCACAGTCATTGCATCATTCCTAGGGCATCAGGGAAGCTGGTCCAGTATGCATAATACCTTTGCTGCTCCACAGAGAGCAACGGCCAAGGTAACCTCCTCCCAGAGTAGCTGTAACTGACAAGCTTAATAGAGACCTTGGCTCCCCCCTGCTCCTTATTTGACCCAGTTTGTGCAACTGCTGACAGAGCCCTTCCAGACCCATGGATGTCCTCAAGATTACTCAAGCTCCTTTTTGCTAGGAGTACTCGTTCCTGGTCCTATTGAGGTATGAGGGAGAGGAGGCAGAGCCAGGGAGCCAGGATGGTGCCTTGAAAAAATCCGCACCATAAAACCACGAGACACTCCCAGGAAAATGAGAGAAAGGGGTGGGTGGTAGCACCCTCCACAGCAGCTCCATGGAGGGCAGGGGGACAGCCCAGACCTGGAAGAAGCAAGGGCAGAAGACATGGGTTTCAACAAGCTGAATGAGACCTTGACTCACAGGGCTGCTGCAGGAAGTGGGAAGGAAGGATAAAACATGGAAGGGCCGAGGACTTGAGCGGGGTCTCAGGGATGATGGCCCACAGCCCACTAATCCTTCTCTTCATTGCACTTCCTTCTCCACCTCGCATCCCAAGCCTTCTTCAATATCTAAGAAAGTCTTGGTGATTTTTACTCATAGTGTTACCCACAAAACAATGACCAAGTTTTTCTGTCCAGGAAATTTATACATGTTCACTGTAGAGAATTCAGAAAGTACAGAGAACATCAACCATCAGTGAATACCACTGTGGATGCTTTGATAAATTTTTCCTCTTGCCTTTTTTTTCTATGAATATATTTTATGTGTATCTTACACATATATTCTTAAGTATCATTTTAAAGATATATTTGAAAGAGAAAGAGAGATCTTCTATCTGCTGGTTCACTCTTTGAAACGATCATAAAAGATAACCAGGTCTGGGCCAGACCAAAGCCAGGAGCCAGAAAATCCATTCTAATCTCTCAGTTGCTGGCAGGAGCTCAAGTATGTGGGCCTTCTTCTGCTAACTTCCCACACATATTAACAGGAAACTAGATTGGAGGTGGAGCAGCCTGGACTCAAACTGGTGCTGTGATATGAGATCCTAACATTGCAAGAGGCAGCTTAACCCACTGCACCACAATGGTGGCTCTGCTTAAGTATTTTAAATAGTGCTTATGGGATTCGTTGCCATGCATTTCTTCAATAATCTGAAGCCATGAGCCTTTGCTGTTGGGCACAGGTGCCTAAATGAATTCCTTAGTTCATAGATTCCCTCCCCTGCTGAATTCATTTGAGTTAAATTTCCTGGCAGTGTGCAAAGGTACGATCGGGCTTTTTAAAGCTCCTCATATACATGGGTAAACCGCTTTCCAGAGGATTGTGCCAATTTACATAACCACAAGTAGCATACGAAAATGTCTGCCAGCTCAATAAATAGCATTGTTTGTTCGGTATAATCGAAGATCCTTGTTTTAATCCAGTTGATTGGCGATCTAGACTGTGAAGATCCGAGGAATCTGGCAGCTGGCAATGAGTACAGGATGATTATCCAGGTGCAGGATGTGGTCCCTCCATACTACAAAAGCAAGTATCATCTTCTTTCTCTCTTTTTTTAAAGTTTTACTTTTATAGTTTGAGAGAATGAGAAAGAGCACATGAGAGAGGGTATCACCTGCTGGTTTCTCCCCAAATGCCCACAATGACAAGGTGGGGCCAGGTGTGGGTGGTGGGGACTCCATTCCTTGGGGCATCACCCCCGTCTCCCAGGATCTGCATTTGCAGCAAGCCAGACCTTGGTGCAGCAGTCGCTCTGACAAGGGATGCAGGCATCCTACTAGGCTACCTGCCTGCCCCACAAGTAACATTTATGATTTCTTTCACAAGGCATCTTTACTAAGGGGCAAGGACCAAGCTGTGCTAGGCAGCACTAGGTATTGTGCTACATATTTTCCGTCTAAAATTGGGACCTTTGTTGAAAAAAAAAATACTCTTTTCAATTAATTTCTTTTTATTTAAAAGGCAAGGGAAAAAGGATAGAGAGAGATCTCCCATCAGCTGACTCATTCCGCCCCTCCCTCACATGCCCACAACAGGCTGATGGGTAGGCCAGGCTAAAACCAAGAGCCAGAAACTCAGGTACTCCACATGAATGGCAAGAATCTGAGTGCTTGACCCTGATGCCTCCCAGGGTCTTCGTCAACCGGAAGCTTATTTCAGGAGTGGAGCTGGAAGTTGAACCCAAGCACTAGGATATAGAGTGTCAGCATCTTAAGCAACGTCCAAACCACTACGCCCAACTCCCACCCCAGGGACCTTCCATTTTCTTGGCTGAGTAACAATGAAAAGTTTTTAAAAGATCTCTCTGTGATTGATTGTATCCCTCCGCATAAAGACACTGTCCATGTTTTTTGTCAGTGATTTTTTTTTTAATCAGGGAAGGCAAATATTTTCAATATTACTTCCTTGGTGAAAGCTCTTGAGTGAATCCTGTGCCTGTCAAGTTCAAGTCCTTTGGCTTGGCATACAAGGATTTGATGCTCTGGCTGCAGCTTAGTCACTCCCTTTCAAGCCAACACCTCCTCCTTTCCAACTAGAACAAAGAACTTGCAGCTTTCCCCAGTGACTTATGCAGTTTTCGACCTTGGTATTTTTGCATGTGCCCTGAGCCACCTTCCCTTTTCCACTCACCATTTGACTCCATCCGGTTAGTCTACATCTGCCCTTGCTCAACTTACCCAACCCCTGGCTTTTGCTGTAGTGACCTGTGCATGTGTTAATCTAAAGGGCCACACAATGGAGGGTAGGAATGCCTGAGTTGTATCTTCCCTGTAATGAAGCCAACATACAGAAGCTGTTTAAAACTTCGAGGGGGGTCAGCATTGCAGCCCAGAGAATGAAACCCCTGCTTATCATACCAGTATCCCATATCTGAGCGCCAGTTCAAGTCCCAGATCTGCTTCCAGTTCAGCTTCCTCTTAATGTATTGGGAAAGCTGCAGAAAACGGCCCAAGTGTGTGGGCCTTTGCCACCTATGGAGGAGACCCAGATGGAGTTTTGGGTTCATCTTTTCAGGCTTGGACCACTGGCCATTGCAGCTATTTGGGGCAAGGGTGGTAGTGAATGGAAGATGTCTCTATTTCCCTCTTTCTGTCTCTTGGCTTTTTCATTCTGATATACAAGCTGGCATATCAGATTAATCCTTTGCTTGCAGCTCTAGGTTTCCCACTTGGGTGCTGGTTTGCATCCCAACTGCTCTGTTTCTGATCCAGATCCTTGCTTATGGCCTGAAAAAAAAAGCGGAGGATGGCCCATATCATTGGATCTCTGTACCCATGTGGGAGACCTAGAGGAAGCTCCTGGCTTATGGTTTTTGGATTGGCTCAGCTGTAGCCCTTTTGGGAGTGAACCAACAGCTGGAAGATCTCTCTCTGTCGCTCCTTCTCTGTGTAAATCCAGCTTTCAAATCACAATAAATCTTAAATAAATATTTTCTTAAAGAGTTAAGGCAATGAATAAGGATCATGATTTAAAATGTTTTCTTGTCCTGTTTTTAGATGACATCTACATTTACGTCCTCACAAGGCCAGAAAATGAGTTTCCTCTGGTCTTTGATAGGCCATTCTACGTGTTTAATGTGTCGGAATTGAGACCAGGTATGTGGCAGACAGGACAGCACACACACTTTCTGGGTTGGGGACCTCAGCGGATGTACGACCATTGTGTAGGACACCCAAGCCTTGGGGCTGCAGTTCACAGCTGACACGTGTGCCCACAGTGCTGTCTATTTGTGTTGAAGTTGTCCTTGATGCCAAGGAGCCCTGCTTGTGGAAATGTGGATTTTGAAAACTGATGATTCAACTGCATTTCCTTGAATCCCCTGATTGCCGCCTGTCTGTTTGCCTGACTCTGCTAATCCTCCCTTTTGGTACCAGGCTGTTTCCTCTCGGTCTCCACTGGGGTTTTTCATCCTGCTCACTTGGAAAATTAGAATTTAAAAATAGAGAAAAGGCTTCCCTTTTCTAAATATTTTCTTCGCTGGAAAACCAAAGGAAGACATGGTCTCTTTCTCTTAGTGCTCTCCATCTCGCCATGGTGTCTGCAGGCCGCACACTCTCCACAGCAATGTCTTTCCATGTCGTTTTCTCCCATCCCCTACCACCATTTTGGAGGTGCTTCTGGTAGCAGCTCCCTTGGACAAGCTGGTTTGTAGAACTCATGCATAACACAGCCTTTCATTTGAAGATCACGAATGCAACTTCCAAAGGAGGGGAAAAAAAACGTCACTAGTTCTAAACCAAATCCCACCTTGTAAAATGACCTTTACTCTATTTTACTGTCTTTTTTTGAAGATGGTCTCCACTTCCTTCCATGAAGTTTTAAAACTAAACACAAAAAGAAGGTTGAGGGGCTGGTGTGGTTGTGCAGTGGGTTAAGCTACTTCCGGTGACACTGGCATTGCACATGAGTACCAGTTCAATTCCCTGCTCCTCGGCTTCAGGTCCAGCTCCCTGCTGCTATGCCAGGCAAAGCATCAAAAGATGGCCTGAATGCTTGAGCTCCTGTCACCCATGTGGGAGACCAAGGTGGAAGTACAGATCCTGGCTTAGGCCTGGCCCAGTCCAAGCCAATGTCGCCACTTACAAAATGAGCCAGAAGTTGGACGATTTCTTTCTCCTCCCTTCATCTCTTCTCTCTCTTACCTTCCCATCTGCACCAATGTCTGCCTTTCAGTTAAATCTTTTTTAAATAAAAATCTTTGTTTAAAAAAAGTACAAAGAAAGTTCTTTCCTGTCTTGATACCTTCTTCTGCAACTAATACATTCAACAGGAATTCATGGTCTCACTACAGATGAGTCACACACTTGGTGCCAGGGCCATAGAAGTGAATAGGAGCAGGTAAGAACAATGGATGAGAGAGCTTCTATCAGCAAGCCAAGCAGAGCTGCAGCAGCCTCAGCAACACACAAAGTGCAATAGTATCTGCAGTCATCTATACTCCGTAATCATCAGTTGCTAAATTTCCAGAAAATGTATTTCCCACCCTTCATCAGGTTTACAAGAGCAATTCATGCTCAATTAATAGAAGATGTAAACCTTACAAGAGATAGTTTTAGACCACTCAGCTGCAAAAAAAGTCTCTGTGTCAAGGTGGACACTCTTTGCCTGGTGTTGACGATCGCAGGAGAATGGGTGTCTTGGCGTCCATATAAAGCCATGAATTGTCTTCTGCAGTTCCTGGTGCTGTATGAACACTAGAGCCCACTACTTAGATGGTGCTTATTGGCATTATGTGACTTTAATAGGACTGAAGGCATAAGGCACACATAGTTGAGACAACAAGGAGGTCTTCAAAAACCTTCTGCCTGGTGGTGGGGAACCTCTGTTCCCAGATCATGCTCCACTCTGCACTGTGCTCCTGCAAGCAGGACTCACCTCCAGGCCTTTGTATCGACAGCTAGGACCCGGGTTGGACGGGTGCACGCGACTGATGCAGACTTCCCCCAGAGCAGCATCGAATACTCCATCTCCACCGGAGGGGCCAGTGTCCAGTATCCGAATGTGTTTTGGATTAATCCCAAGACTGGAGAACTGCAGCTAGTGATGAAAGCAGACCATGAAATGACCTCCGTGTATGTCCTCAGGATCCAGGCCACCAACAGTGAGGACAGGAGCCTGGTCACTGTGAGTGTTGCTGCCCGATTGATTCACACCAGCCCAGCTGATTGATTCTTGTTGATTCTGGTGCCCTTGAGGTGTGCCTATGGCCATGGGAACGCTTCCCAGGATCCTTCCTGCAGGTGGAGTGGGAAATGAGCAAATGACTGTGAGAAGCACAAAATGGGCAGCTGGGAAGTCCACAAAGCCATTTTGTGATTGGAGGTGCCCCCTGTGGCCCTCTGCATCTCTCTTTGCTTTAGCCAGGGGCGGGCTGTGGGAGACACAGGCCCAGATGTCGACTGTGGTTATATAGCTCTATGCCTCCCATGCAGCTTCGGCTCATTTCAAACCCCGTGCCCCCAGCACACATATGCCAGGTGGGGAAATGTTACATTGTTCTCGTGCTTCCAAACCGTGGTGGCAGAGACTTTGGGAAAGGCAGATTCTAAGTTAGTAGGATAAGGATTTCCCCTGTACTTCTGTCTTGTTCTGGAGTGGTGCCAGCACTCTTGGTCCATTTAGTTTTACTTATTTGAAAGGTAAAGAAACTGAGAGGGAGAGAAGGAGATAGAGAGAGAGGTCCCATTTGCTAATTCATTCCCCCAAATGGCTACAACAGCCAGGACTCAACCAGCCCAGCCAGGAACCAGGAACTCCATCCACATCTCCAACATGGGTGGCAGGAACCAAATACTTAGTCCATTTTCCACCACTACTTTTCCAGGCACATCGAACCAGCAGTATGGTTTGGAATGCTAGTGTCATTGGTGGTGGCCTAACCCGCTATACCACAATGCCAACCCTATCCCATAGCCATCCATTAAATAGCAAGAGTCTAACAGATTCATGCTGTCAGTGGTTAGGATTATCTGAGATGAACACGGCAGCCACAAAGATACAAGGTTTTTGTTTTTTTTTTTTTTGGACTCTTCCACTAAAGTGAAAAAAGATGAAGGCAATATGGACTCTTGGCAAATAGCAAGCAGCCCTGTGTGATCCAGACAATGACCACTTCAGAATCAGGAGACCAAATTCATCTTCCCAACCTTGAGCCCAATTTGTCAAGGGGGTTTGGATATGCTTATCTCTGGGGTTCCTCTCACCACCTCTTCAATGGAGAGGCGCTCTGATGCACAATGCCTGGATAGTCCAGCTCCTCTGATGACTTGCTTTGAGTTCAAGGGATGATGTTTGTAATGATATGAGTCTCCACATTGCTAGCTGAGGCAAGGGGGATAGCTACAGTGTTTGCCATGATGGGACTTTATTTTTGAGAAAAATGAATGGACTTCATTTTGGGAGCAAACTCAAGTGAAAATTTCAATTTATTCCCAGACTCAGAAATAGCGGAAATCCCCCAGATTTCAAAGGGTTGAATGAAAAATGACTCAAAGCACATGAGCTTTTAAAAAGGGTGATGAACTAAATGATCACATACGTCCCTTTCAGGGCTGACATTCAATGATTCTGGCTTGGCAGCCTTCCCAGTCTCTATTCCAATTCACCAGGCATAAAAGGCCGTGATGAAAGGGAACAGGCTGGCCTCCGCTTGTGGCAGGTTCGCTCCCAGTTTAGTGCCATGAGAAAAGCCCGGGTTGCAGATGGGATCCTGACTTCCTGTAGCCCACTCACTCTAGCTCGGTTCTTTTCAGCCCCAGTTGCCAATTAGAATCAGCTGGGGAGCATCAAAGCCATGCCTGGGCCCCACCCTCTAGGGAGGTGGGTCCAAGGAAACAGAGCCCAACTTGAGAGCTGCTGCTCTGTGTGGCAAAAGTGGAGATTGAGCCTTTGGTTCACAAGGGGCAGTGAACACAGCAGTGCTTGGCATCACTGGACATCAGAACTCATGCTGGGGACCTAGCACAGTAGCCTAGCAGCTAAAGTCCTTACCTTGAACGCACCATCATCCCATATGTGCACTGGTTCATATCCTGGTTGTTCCACTTCCCATCCAGCTCCCTGCTTGTGGCCTGGGAAAGCAGTCGAGGACGGCCCAAAGCCTTGGGACCCTGCACCCACATGGGAGACTCAGAAGAGGTTGCTGGCTCCTGGCTTCAGATTGGCGCAGCTCCAGCTGTTGCAGCCACTTGGGGAGTGAATCAGCGGATGGAAGATCATTCTGTCTTTCCTCCACTCTGTATATCTAACTTTGCAATAAAAATAAATAAATCTTGAGAAAAAAAGTAAATTCATATAAAAAGAGCTTGTGCTGGAAAACCACACCTTATTGTCTTCACAGGGCATGTGAGAAGGGGATGTGGGAACGTCCATTTAGTGCATGCACACATGTAAAAGCAGTGGGGCCAGCATGTGGCACAGCACATTATCTACTGCTTACGATGCCAGCATCCCAGCAGAGGTGGTGGATCTGAGTCCCGACTAGCCCTACTTCCTGCTAGTGCACCTGAAAAACATTGACTGATAGTCCAACACTTGGGTTCCGGGCACCCATGTTGGAGACCAGAACTGGAGTTCTTGGCTCCTGACTTTGGCCTGGCCAGTCTTTGGTGTTACAGCCATTCAGGCAGTGAGCCATCAAATGCAAAATTTCTTTCTTCCCCTCTCTCTTTCACTTTGGTTTTCCGATTAATAAACAAAGCAAGCAAACAAACAACAACAAATCCCAGCAGCATGGGATCAGGAGCAGAGCAGACCTGTATTCAGATTCTGGCTTCACCCCTCCGGCTGAATGGTCTGAGGTCAATCATCTAACTTCTCTAAGCCTTTATTGCCCTGTCTGTGAAATGGGACCCTCATAGAAGATGAAGTGGGCTTTATGTGGGGCGAGTACGTGGCGTAATAAATCCTTGGCTAGTTTTCTGTAATTGAGAATGGTTTCTTGGTTGCTGCTCTAGGTGACTGTGAATATCCTTGACGAAAATGATGAAAAGCCAGTTTGCATTCCAGACTCCTACTTCCTGGCTATCCCTGTGGATATGAAAGTCGGCACAAATATTCAGAATTTCAAGTTGAGGTGCACCGATCTTGATTCCAGCCCCAGATCTTTTCGTTACTCCTTTGGTCCAGGTACAGTGCTTGGCTTCTCCCCCTCTGGATCTTGCTCCTAAAGTCTCTACAGGAGTCTAAAGAGGGTGAGGTGGCAGGGTGTGTGATCACACACAGAGCTGGGCATGGTGTGGGGGCTGGGATTCTCAGGGGCTTCGTGTTAGGAAAGAGGAATGAGGTATGCAATGATCCCTGTATTTCCCAGGCTCCTTGTAGCTTCCCCTCTCCGCTGATGCTCCCAGACCCCTTTCCTAGCTACTCCCAGAACATCCAGGAAGAATAGATCCCATGGATGGTGCATGCCCCTCCCAAATTCTCAGATCATGATGCAAACCATAGATGGTATGCATATATATATATATATTCATTCCATCCAGCTCCTTAACAGCCTCTTTCTCTGAAAGCTTGTAGTGGGGGCAGGGAATCCCAAGCCCCTGTCTGGATAAGAATAGAAGAAATAGATTAAATGCATTTTGAAACATGTCCCCAGGAATTCTTTTGCTCCATTCATTTTTTGGCTTTTAAGAATATACCATTGTGGGGAGGAAAAAAAAAAAGAGCACCCCTCACTGGAAATTAGACCAAAATAGCTCATCTAATGAAGTGCTGGGGCCTGGGATTTAAACCCAAACAAGCAGAGCAATTCTGTGTGAAAGAGTGAAAAATCCATTGTGCGGACGCCTGCTGAGCTGGAGCGGAGCAGGGACTTGAGAGCCGTAGGGAGCCTCCCTAGCAAGCTGCATCAGAAAACCCAGGGGCAGGCACAGGCTGGAGACAGCAGCTGCCAAAGATGGGGATGATCCACATCAAGAACCCTACGGTCTTCGTGGAACACTTGGCTGCAGAGGGAGTAAAAACTGCATCATCTGCTGCTCCATTTACTGGTTTGTAGTTGGTAATGAGTCTGGAGCCACTGGAGGGATGAGCAAGAGCGGACTTGAGCTGGCAGCCTTTGTGCCCACTGGCTGCCAGATTTGTGAACCAGAAGCCTCAGCTGAGCTGTGTGCGAAGGCTCATGGCTTCCTAGGGTGGGCTTAGGAGGACCTGGGGCCACAGTCCTTGCAAAGGCCAAAGGGGGACACCCCAGGATGATGCTTTTGGCAGTAAGACAAGCCAGATTCTGTGAAAACCATGGAGTGAACTTGGCCTCTGAATAGGGAAGTGGCTTGTTGTATCCCCTTGGTGATTACCCAGGAGTGTCACATATGTTACAACCACAGCAATGATAAGCCAGCAGAGGCTGCACCCAGGCTTGTAAAATCAACCTGATACCCAGCAAGATGGCACATAGGACACATGCACTGCTGTCCCTTTCTACTCATCTGTGCTTGCAGCCACTCTGTGAGCAAGTTTCTTTGAGTTCATGGAATCCCTGGTACAACTGAGGCCTCCAACGTGTCGTTGACCCGATCAGCGCTGGCGCCTTAGAATATGTAGTGAGGGTCTGTGTGGTAGCATAGCAAGCTAATTTCTTCCTGCAGCAGCAGCATTCCAGATGGGCACCAGTTAAAGTCCAGGCTGGTCCAGTTCTGTTTCAGCTCCCTGTTTATAACCCGGGACAGTGAAGAGTGGCTCAAGTCCTTGGGTCCCTGCAGCTATGTGAAAAACCTGGAGGAAGCTCCTGGCTCCTGGTTCCTGGGTTTGGATTGCCTCAGTTCTGGCTGTTGTTGCCAACTGAGGAGTAAAAAAGCAGATGGAAAACTCCTCTCTCTGTCTCTCCTTATTTGAGGAATAAGATTAAATATGCTTTTCTTCTAAGCTTTCATTTCTCACACTCTTTCTTTGCCAACACCTTTACATCAAATCCCATGTAGGCAACATCAACAGTCATTTCACCTTCTCTCCCAATGCTGGTTCCAATGTCACGCGCCTGCTGCTGGCATCCCGCTTTGATTATGATGGTGGGCTCGACAAGAACTGGGACTACCAGCTGCACATCTATATAACTGATGACAACTTGCTGTCAGGCAGGAAGAGAGCCGGAGCTCTTGTTGAAACAGGAACAGTGACCTTGAGTGTTAAAGTCATCCCTCAGCCAACCACGATCATCACCACAACGCCCAGGGTAAGGCTTTGGGGACCTGCCCCCCACCACACCACCCCAGTCACGTTCCCTTGTGATTCACGGCAGTGGAGCCCTTTGATTCAGGGCTGAGCTGTGGAGGTTGTACTGCAGGAGACACGGGGTAGAAGAGAAAGATTCGGTGAAACATTGGATTTGCAGAACCCTTCATTCTTATTCTAGCAGAGGGAATGTTTGTCTAGAAAACTGGGATAGATAGCCACTGGCCATCCATGGTGCTCATGATGCAGAAGCCAATTCTCACATGCTTGTGTCCAGGTGCATGCCTCCCAGTCCCCTTCCCACTTGCTCATCAGAGCCTTGGCATGTCCCTGTCCATGAAGCACATTGCCAGTTACCCCACATCACATGCTCATCCCCACATCTTTCCAGGGCCCTGGGTCAGTGCGGCTCATCTCCTTTCCACCCAACCAACACTCCAGAAAACCTTGCCCAACCAAAATATTGGCTTTCTGACTATAAGGTGCTGATTAACTAGTGATCAAGCAAAAACTAAACCCTGCTTTCCTGGAGTTTATGCGCTAGGTCATTGCTTCTCAAAGTGGAGTCCCAGCCTAGCAACATCAGCACTACTCTGCGGCCTTGTGAGAAATCAGTTTCTCAGACCTACCTCTGATGATTAAATTCTCATCTCAGCCAATCACGATCATCACTACAACCTTCAAGACAGGATGTCAGGGCCTAGAAGGGAATCCCCAACCTCCATTTCAATCTACTGGATCAGAAACTCTTAAAGGTTGGCCCTAGCCCTCTGTGTTCTGGGTAAACCTTCCAGGAAATTCTGATGCACACTCAAGTTTAAAAGACACTGACCCCGGGAAGGAGACAGATGGTAAACAAGTACACAAACTAACAAAAGTAATTGCAGATGGTGGTAGGAAGAAAATAAGCAGGTGCTGTAACAGAATGGCTGAGGAGAGAGCCTTGGGGAATGACCCCAGGAATATGCCATCGACGCTGACACACCTGGCCCTTGCTCTTCTCCCGATCCCAGCAAGAGCTGGATCCCTAGTGAGCAGCTCTAAATTTGTAGCTAGAGGAAAAGCAATCAGAACCTAAGAAAACTGCCTAGTGGGCTTCCACCCAGCCCTGCTTCTTAGGGTCATACCAAGAACTGGTTAATGCTGTGCTGTTTGCTCTGGAGTCCAGGGCTACACCTGACACCATGGAGACTCTTCAGTGGTAGGAGCGGATAACCCCACAGTGAGGAATTACCACTGCTCTTGGGCTTGTAGCATGACTTGATGGTGACATCTCCAATGTTGAAATATCTATGACTTCTGTGTTATCTGCCTTCTGCAGGAAGCAGATGCTGAACTGGATATTTCACTGCGTTATCAACCCACTCATCTAGCCATGGCCCCTTGTATCAAGCGAGCACTGAGTCCTAAAGGTGTTAAAACAACAACTTGCTTGGCTCCTGCCATTGTGGGAGACAATGGCTATAGTAGTCCCTGGGCAATGCCATCAAATGGCAGAAAGGTGGGAGGAAAGGCAGGCATTGGGCTTGGAGTTGTTTCTCAGTTCCCTAAAATGTCTGAGTGTTGATCTAATAGATATCTGACCAATGGCTTGAACGGCAAGAGCTGTGACCACGCAGGTGTCCGATTATAGAGCAAGACAAAGTGTGTACTTCAAAGTGTCACAGTAGATAGTCAATCTAAGTGTGTTCTAAATGTCAAAGATGCTACGACCCTCCCTGTTCTCTGTCTCTCCTTAAAGCCCAGGATCACCTACCAGATCCTGAAGAAGAATGTTTATTCTTCCTCTGCGTGGTACGTGCCTTTTGTCATCACACTGGGCTCCATCTTGCTCCTGGGTCTCCTGATGTTCCTGGTCATCCTGTTGGCCAAAGCCATCCACACACAGTGCTCCTGGAAGATGGAGGAGGATGAGAATCCTTTGTAAGTTGCCAGTGGGCTGGACCCTTTCCTCCACCTGCTTGGATCGGGGCTTCTGTTGATGCCAGAAGAGGAAGCAATGAAGAGTCAGAATTTCCATACTGTGTGAGGTCCCTGGAGTGCAGGAAGGAAAAGGAGTTTGATGCAGGGAGAAACCCCAGCTACCTGACCATGGCAAACCCTCTCTCTGTCACCTATGGCGCCAGAGAACTGTTCTCTTATTGTTCTCTGTTAGTGTACCCTGTCCTCGAGGGACTTCCCGTGCAGTCGGGCCACTGACCTTGTGATGACCTGGCCCTGGATCAAAAGCGTCAGGAGAGCCTGGCAGTGAGCAGTGATGAGCTATGCTGGGCCCTACACTGAAGGCAATGCGCGAGTCAAGCTGGGGCCCCCAGTGACTCATGGGGACTTGGGGAGATGAAGATCCCTGTTGGTTTGCATGTGGGCCCACTCTCTCCCTCTCGGGGATTGTGAGCACAGCCTGTTCTCTCTCCTTCCCATCCTCACCTGCTCACTAAGATGCCACTGCTTGTGACTCTGGGAAGTGTCTGCTTCCAGCTAATGTGAGGTAGCAGAGGGAGGTGAAGAGAGTCTTGTTTTTTAGGAGTGCTGGCTGAAGTCAGGACCGGGGTTGTCGGTAACTCTTCCAGCCTGGGCAGAATGGCTCTGCCTGAGCTTTAGGCTTAAGCCAGGCCTTGGTTCAGATCTTGGCTCAGTCTTTATGGGCTTCAGTTTCCTTGTTTGTAAAATTAAACAATTAAATGTGCAAATAAAAATGAGCATTTAGCATTATTCCAGACATAGAATCAATGTTTTAACTCCTGTAGACATAGCTTAAAAATCTTGTTGTATTATTCTTCACAGCATGGTCCCCATGAGTTTAGAATTCTAGATTCCAGGTTTAACTCTATGTCCAACTCTTGGGGTGTTGCAGTCTCTCAGTTTCAGGATTTCTCAATGCCAAAAAGAAGGGGAGTTAAGAAGCATGTCTCTTCTAAAGGTATTTGAAGATTAAGTACTAAGTATGAAGTAATTTGAAAAAGCTATGGATGAAAGATTATATAAAAGTATAAGGCATTAGCAGAAAAATGTGCATTGAATTTTGTTGTATTTGTTGGGAAGGTTGTTGCTATTAGCAACCTTGGCTTCAAGGTAAGAAATCCTTGAGCATCTGCTGAAATTAAAAAAAAAATAAGGGGGAGGGAGCATTTTCATTTGGATGCTACTCACTGATAAAAAAGAAAAAGAAACTGACTCCAAAAGAGTAATGTTTAAGCTTGTCAGAATGGTAGGACCCTGTAATGAGATTTCAGTAGAAATACCTGGAGGAGGTAATCCAATGGACGTGGCAGCCCACTTGCAATTTATGGCCCAATGTTAAATGTGTAATTTACATTCTAAATAACAGTTGTTTCCAACATGATTGGTCTTTTAAAAGAAAAAAAAAAAAACTAGCTAGAAATTGAGATTCAGACCTGGCTCGCTGGAATTTGCTTGTACCATGTGACAGCCAACATTTGGCAAATAGCAAAGAGTGAAACTTGTGTTACAGAATTTTTCAAGGTCATCACGGACAGGGTGTAAGAGTCCAAACGCACTTCCTCATATTACAGGAAACCCAAGTTTAACTGCCAGTCTTCAAGCCTTCTTGCTGTAAGCAAGTCTTCTGCTGAGCTGGCTACTGGGGAAAAAAGGCAGGAGCTCCGGGCAGTGTGCCTGGGTGGACATATCCTTGCAGGTGTCCTCATCAGAAACAATACCTTCCCATAAGATGAGGATTGGCCAATTTGTGCAGACTTTCCAGATTGCAAAGTCTAAAACCATCAGTGACAGAGCTGCCTTGTTTGGAATGGAGATGATAGTCTAGCCTTCTAGTTGGCTGCCATCCCTGGTCCCTCTGAATCCTGAGTGTCACCCAAAGAACAGGCTAACATGTATTGCTGGGTGGAATATTTTCATGTTATATAATGTCTTTTCCTTTTTCCCCACAGAGTGGAGAAAGGAGGTATGTATGGCATCTTTTTCTTTCTTTCTAAGGATAGATTTATTTATTTACTTACTTGTTTGTTTGAAATGCAGAGCATGAGAGAGAGGAAGACACAGTGAAAGAGAGATTTTCTGTCTGCTAGTTCACTCCCCAGATGGTGCAACAATCATGTCTCAGTCAGGCCCAAGTCAGGAGCCAAGAACTACATCTGTATAGCGGGACCCAAATGCTTGGGTCATCTTCCATTGCCTTCCCAGGAAGCTGGCTTGGAAACAAAACATCCAGGGCTTGCACTCTGATGTGCAATGCTGGTGTAGCAAGTGGTGGCTTAACACCCTGCACCACAGCATTAGCCCCGTTTGTTTTGTGCGCTGTTGCACTATCCATAAAGGCACCACCCGACAGAGAATTTGGGTTCAGTTGTGCCTTGGAAGGATCTCAGCCACCTTGCGTGACTGCAGAAGTCAGACAAAGCTGGAAAAAGGGCAGGTCGTGGAGGGTGATGCCTTTAAGCCATTTAGATTTCTTGGTCCTACCTGTACCACTATGTGTGACAGCAGTAAAACAAATTCCCCTTGTGTCAAGCATGATGTATGCTTGCTGCTGTACGTGGAGGGCTGTGGTCACTGCTGAGAGCATCCCAGGCTCTGTCTTGAACACAGGATTGCTTGGAAAGAAAATGTGATACTTGATTCTCCAGTGTTAATTTTTGTGATCAAGTTCACATGTTACCTAGGTCAGACTAGTTTGAAATGGAAACAGGGGACAGAGGAAAAGAAAGAGCTGCGAAATTTTAGGGATGTTGGGAAAGTGAACAAAATCCCTCTGTAAACTGCAAGCCTGAGGAGTTGTCCCGTCCCTGCCCTGGCCAGCAAGTGGCTATCTAAAGGTGACTCCAGGCTCTGAGGAAAGACAGAACAAAACAGAACAAAACCCTGGGGGGGCCGGGGATATATATATATAAATAAAAATTATATACATATAATATTATATATTATATTATATTATATTATATTATATTATATATAAATAAAAATAAACAAATAAAATAATTTATATATAAATAATTAATATATTAATATTATATAATATATTATATACTATAATATATAATATGATATATTAAAATATATTAATATGATATAATATATAATAATATATAATATATAATATAATATTATATTATATTAATATATATAAATTATTTTATTTTATTTGTTTATTTTTACTGCTGCCTTAGAGGTGGATGTTTGGCATAGCAGTGAAACCGCTGCTTGGGACAGCTGCATCTCATCGGAGCCCTCAGGTGGAGTCTTAGCTCAGCTCCTGATTGCAGCTTCCTGCTAATGCACACCAGGGAGGCAACAGGTGGCGGCTCAGGCGTTTGGGTTGCTGCCATTCACGTGTGAGACCCCGCTTTGCTAGGCTTCCGGCTGCTGCAGCAGTTTCCAAAGTGAAAACAACGAATGGAAGATCTCTTGCTCTTCCTTCAAATAAATTAATACAAAGAAATTAACTTAGAATTCTTGCTTTAATCATTCCACCCTATGCATGTGCAGACAGCATTAGAAATCTGATGATAATTGTTATTGACCATGACGAACAAAGCGATTTTAATAAACAAGATTTTCACAAACAATCTTCAACCCTGGCTGCTTTTAAAAAGTGCTTAGAGAATAAAGGTTAAAAAATCCTCACACTGTGAATAAATGATCAATCCAATTTTTTTTTCTTATTTCTGAAGCCAAATTTGAAAGCTGGTTCTTAAGCTCATGACAAAATAAGCTGGAAAAAAAATTTAAAAATCACAAGTTTGGAAAAGATAGAGAGCTGCTGACAAATACGTGCACAGATAGAGAAATTGTTTGCCTTGTCTGCGAGGCTGAGTTCAAAGCCTGTTTAGGAGAAATGCCACTGCAGGGTGGGATTTGAAGGCTGATTTGGCACCCAAAAAGCTTAACGTCCACCTGTCTAATTGCTTGCAGGAATGAAGAATTCCAAGAGAGAGGTTGTGGTGGTGAGTATGGCTGGCCAGGGACTCCCCACGGGCGACGGGCGACGGGCGACGGGCGGTGGGCGGTGGGCAACGGGCGGCGCTTGCTCCCTCTCGCTCTCCCCATGCACCCCGCCAGGCCCTGCCACAGCCCGGTGGGGTGTTTGTCATTCCGGGAGGAACTTGCAGTTGGCCTCTGGAACAGATTGCTGTGTGACGAGCTCCTGATAGAATTTGTTCCCTCCATTGAGCATGTCTGCTGATCTCTGTAGAAGCACTGGGTTTCATAAATATTGAGTAGCAGTGTTTATTATCCACTTTGGCTCTCCAGGAGAGTGGCGTTGGGGAGTGGAGCTTAAAAACCAGAACTGGTGCTTTGGCCTTCAACGGGGATTTCATTTTCCTTTGCTCTTCCACAACGGTGCAGAAAACTGATAGGAAGGCACACAGCCTTCCTATCCGGGGTCCGGGGTTGGCTCTGCCTGCTTAGCCTCATGGTTTTGGAGACTCCCTCCACCACAAACACTTTGCAAAAAAGTGAAAATACAGACTAGTTGGAGAGTTGCCTCAGGCGATGGACCTGGAGGGGGACTCCCCCAGTTCTTCGCTCCCCTCTCCCCTCTCCCCACACTGCTAATAAGACGGCATGATTTAAGACCAGTGCATTTTGTAAATGATATACACAACAAGGAGGTCAACACGGTATCCTGGAATTTCAAGACATTTTTATGATTTACTTTTTTAAAAAGACTTATTTTTATTTGAAAGGCAGATCCACAGAGAGAAGGAGAGACAGAGATCTTCCACCTACTGGTTCATTGGCCAACTGGCCATAATGGCTGGAGCTAAGCTGATCCGAAGCCAGAAGCCTCCTCGGTCTGCCATATGAGTGCAAGGGCCCAAGAACTTGAGCCATCCTCTGCTGCTTTCCAAGGCCATAAGCAAGGAACTGGGTTTGAAGTGGAACATCCAGGACTCAAATTGGCACCCATAGGGATGTTGATGTTACAGGCAGAGGATTCATCTGTTGAGCTACGTTGCTGGAGCCTCTATTTACTTTTGTTATTAGAAAGGCAGGTGGACATGGAAAGAGAGATGGAGACATTTCTCTTCCATCAGCTCATCCTTAAGTGCCTTGAACAGCCATGGCTGGGCCAGAGTAAAGCCAGGTTATCTCCTTTGGGCAGCAGGCACCCGAGTACTGGAGATGCTGTCTACTGCTTCCCAGCGTGCACATTAGCAAGAAGCTGAATTGGAAATTGAAGCAGGTGTTCTTATATGGGAGCACTCCAAGCGGTGTCTTAAATACTGCACCAAAAGCCTGACTAGTGTACTTGGAATTTTTGCTTTAGCCCCTTAGGGTGCTTATTCTACATTCTAGCCAGTCTATAAACAGAAGGAAGATGCCATCTCGGGCCTCTGATTCCTTGAGGCTGTCACCCAGAGATGATCTTAGAACTGTGGAATAAGAGCCGACTTCCAAAAGTTCAAGGTCAGCTTAGTGCTGGTGTTACGACATAGTAGATAAAGCTGCCACTTGTTACAAAGCATCCCACATAGGAACCAGTTTGAGTCCCACTGTTTCATTTCAGATCCAGGTCCCTGCTCACACACCTGGGAAGGCAATGGAAGATGGAACAAGTGCTTGAGCCCCTAACCTGTGTGGGAGACACAAAGGAAGCTCCTGGCTCCTGACTTCAACCTGACTCGGCTCCTGCCATTTGAGAGTGAACCAGAAGATAGGAGATATCTTTTTGTCTGTTTCACTCTCTCCCTCTTTCTTTCTAATGCTGCCTTTCAAATAAATTTTAAAAATGGATTTTTAAATAAAGGCAATTCTCCAAAGTATTTTTTCCAAAATACATATTTTCCACAAACTTTTAGGAGAGAGCCTGTATAGGCATACCATGTTGAAGGGTTTTGGACCAAAATAAACTCATCCTTTAATTCTATTATCCATGAACATTTTGAAGTATACTTGCATTAAAATGGTCTATTACAGAATTAAAGTCCATGAGCAATGAATGTTTTATCATCTAACCCCTGTTTTCTCTCTCTTCATGGGAAGCTATGGGGCAGCAAATAGGCAATCATGTAAGGAGTGATGACTGGGAGGGCGGGGGACCTGTTGAACTCCACACACTGCCCTTGTTATCTGAAAACTCTGTCTTTGGCACCAGTGGAGGGTATTATGTGAGGGAAGGGGGTGTTCCCATGGAGTCAGGAGACAGATGCACTGGGCATGGGTCAGATCAGGTGCAAAGGGACAGGATGCAAAACACAGGGCTTCAGGATGTCTTAAATGGCACAATGCATTGGGCCAGCCAAGAGGAGGCAGAGACTGGGAGAACCAGACTACAGATACGCACACCTGGGGCTCCCCTGTGTCTACTTGGCACGTCTGACTGACAATGGCCCCAGTGAGGCAGCATAAGCCTTAGCCTGTGCCACACAGCATTCCTGGTCTTCCTTTATAAGCTCAAATGTCATGACTCAAGGTGGCTTCTAAACCTCCAAGTGTGTGGATTGAAGTGCTGTCACCTCCACCTGTGCCCCACACATGTTTAGTGGCACAGTGTCATCACTCTGCATTGAGGCCCCTAATCACCAGTGGCCAGCTTTTTCCAGGCCCTAACCATGCCTGCCTCATCCACTGCTGTGTCCCCAGTATCTAACACAGTGCCTGTTGAATCAACAGCAATCAGGGGAGCTTTGGGTAAGGAATCGTGGAGAGGGAGGCAGTAAGGGATGATTAGCTGGGTTGGGGTAGGATGGGCATCGGGCTGAGCTTATCATGGGGGTAGGTGCACAGAGCAGTGCTTGAAGCTGTTTGTCTCCTTAGGAAACTGTGCTGCTGAACACTGTCTTTGATGGAGAAGCCATAGACCCAGGTAATTAAGTGGCATTGCTAGCCATAAGAAAGCTTTTCATATTCCATGCTGGCAAAGCCCCAAGGACCTTATCCAGTTTCCTGCTCTTCATTCCTGTTTGTCAATCCATTTGGCTTCCATGGCCTACCATGCAGTACAGATCCTTCTCTGCTAAAAGGCACCGTGGACACAGCTGACACAGACCACAGAAGTTCAGGACTGTGAGTGAGGCCTCACAGGTGGAGGATGAGCTCCTACTAAAAGGTTCTGCCCCAAGGACTGGACCTGTTTCATGCCTCCCTCTATGCAGTATGGAACCATTGGCAGACGTGGAGAATTTGGCTAAGTCAAGAACCTGCATCCCTCTAGGTAGTTCCATCTCCTGCTCACTGATCCTCCAATCTTCCTAAATGCTTTTAGTTGCATCCCATTTGTAGCAGAAAAGAGAGAGAAAAGCAAATTTGACTTCTTCTCTCCCTGAGGGTCAAGAATTCCTTCTTGGTGGGTGAAGTCAACTTCAGTTCAAGTTGGCCTCCAAAGACCTCATCACCACCCCCTCCTCAAAATGAGCTCCAGGTTTAGCTCCTTTACATCCACCCCTCCACTTACTGAGGCTCCATCAGGGATGTGTATGTATAAAGGGAAGGCAGTCAAATTCAGGAGGCGAGTGTGCTGGCTCCCTGCCACCCTCATATGCAAAAGACCCAGGTCCTCCTCCTCCTCCTGCTCCCCGCAAGAGGATGGCTCGTCTCCAGCTGCTGCGGCTGTTGGAATGAAATTTCCCTCTATTATTAGGTACTTGTTACCATACTATGCGCTACTGGGATCCTGAGCCCAGGGCTTCTCTTGTTGTGGGGCGGAAGCAGCAGGCGTCTTTGGACTTGCCTTCAACCCCTGTCTTCTTTGACAACAGCCTGGGAGGACCTCTGCAGGTTTTTGTCTTGTGTGTTTGAGAGAGGAATGAATACACCAACGTGCCTGGCATGAGTGTCTGCTGGTTCCGACAGAGTAGAGATGGTTTCCCTTGCTTTCTTTCTAGCGAAGCCAGTTTGGTGTGTCTAATGAATCACTATACAACTTCCCAGAAACCCCAAGTCTTAAGGCTTGCGCTCCTTGCTTGATGAATTGATTCTGATAGCAGGGATTCAGGAGTCTTTGCAAACCACACAAAATCAATCAGAAAGCAGTGGCTAATGCCAATACAGCTCAGACCTGCTTTATCTGACATGTTCATTGACATTCAAGAGTTCTATGTCCTTCGTCTCTCTCTGTTGAAGTGGCTTTGAGATTTTTTGCAGACCTTGCTACATGGGAACTGTGATGAAATTTGCCACTTAGGAGCCACTTTTGAAAAGGGCAGGCAGGGATGGCTGTTCAAAAGCCTGCTTTCTCAGACCCGGTGTGGTAGCCTAGCAGCTAAAGTCCTTGCCTTGAACGCATTGCGATCCCATATGGGTTTCGGTTCCAACCCTGGCAGCCCTGCTTCCCATCCAGCTCCCTGCTTGTGGCCTGGGAAAGCAGTCGAGGACAGCCCAAAGCCTTGGGACCCTGTACTTGCATGGGAGTCCCAGAAGAGCTTCTGGCTCCTGGCTTTGGATTGGCACAGCTCTGGCCATTGTGGCCACTTGAGGAGTGACTCATCGGACGGAAGATCTTCCTCTTTGTCTCTCCATATGCTCTCTATATATCAGATATATAAATATATATCTGACTTTGCAATTAAAATAAATAAATCTTTTTTTAAAAGCCTGTTTTCAGAGATAAATGCCTTCTCTCTTTAAGAAATATTCATTTGAAAGGCAGAGTGACAGAGAAGGAGAAAGAGAGCTTCAGCTCATGGGAAGACTCCCTAAATGACCACACGATCCAGGGCTGGGCCAGACTAGACAAGCCATTAGGCTCTCCCACCCGGCTAGCTGCCAGCAGCCCAAACACCAGGTCCCTCTTTCTCTACCTTCCTAGGTACATTAGCGGGAAGTTGGATTAGAAGTGAAACAGCTGGGACTCATATTGGCACTCCAGCATGGGATGCCAGTGTTGCCACTGGCATCTTAATCCATTAAGCCATGGCACCACCCACGAGTGATTCCCACATTCAAGCATCATTCACCTTTTCTTAGGAGTTAGAACAGAGCAAGATGGTGGTGGAGGTGGGAGAAGAGAATCATTCAGATTCCCTGTTTTATGATTGTTTTCTTTTCTTTTCTTGCAGTGACTGGGAAAATGTATGAATTCAACTCCAAAACTGGAGCCAGAAAGTGGAAAGCCCCATTAACCCAGATTCCAACAGGGAAAGGGTCAAGTGCCTGGAGAGCTGCTGATGAGCCAGGGCCACAGACAGGCCCTGAGAAGGGTGTGCTGAGTGACAGCAGAGCTGTTGAGGACACAGGTCTGCCTTCCCAAAATGTGGCTGCCAAGCCAAAGCACAGAAATCCAGCTCTCATGAACAGGGCTTCCCCCAGGCCCCAGACACCCAGGGATCCCAATGGAATGCATGATGATGTTTAAACAAACTGAGGTCAGATTGCAAAGCTACCTTCTTCTGAGACAGCTGCTGACCTGCTGCGATTGCTAACTTTAGACGCCCTGTTCCTTCTTCGCACTGACTGCTAGGAAGCTCTATTCAGCTCGCTTGTGAAAATGCACAGGAGTTATGAATGTAAATATCGAGGAGCATCACCACCTCTTTTCCTGCCCTCATTTTAGCAACATCTAGATTTCTCCATTGAACCATTCTTGGACATTTTGTCACAACACGCCTTTCGGAACACCGTAAGTCTATTTGAAAGAAGAAGAGCAGTGAGAAAACTGATTGAGTGACTGAATGAATATTGATTTGTTCCTCTGGGAAGACGCAAACACAATAGAAGTCTCCTTCTGGTATTTTTTTTATTAAATAAAGTGTAAGGTGTAACTTTTATTAAACCAAGTGCACAGATCCAAGATCTTCAACTTGATGGTGTATAGCCTTCCCCCAGGGGTGACCACCATACTGATCTTTATCATCAGAGAGGACTTTGGCCTGTTTTGAACTTCATTCTGAACTTGAATCGCTGCTATAAGTTTTTTGTTTTGCTATTTTGAAAGATAACACTAACTTTCTTGCACATGTCTGTGGTGAACATAAACACTTGTGTGGTCAAACAATTCCAACTGGTTGGAGACATTATTGTAAAACCTCCAAACTGGATCTGCTAGCCCAGTGCACAGAAAGCCACTCACTGATTCGGGATGGTGGAAGAAAGTAGCATTGATTGCAAACTGTAGAGCAAGAAGCCAGACATCTATTGCTTAATTCCCAGGCTCCTTGAGGAGTTTGGGGTGAAGATTCTTATAGACAGAAACTGAAGCTGATGGGTGCATACTTGCAAGGTTCCTGATTGGTCAGTGATGCCATGATCTTAAGGGCATTCCCAATGGTCAGGTGGGCTCCAGCCTGCCTGTGGATCCCATGAATCTGGTCACATTTTCACCAAAACTCCCCCCAGATGAAGCCCTCCAGAGAATACTGGCCATTAAGGTCCCTACCTGTTGGAGAAGCACATGACTTCTGGAGTCTGATGACTAGAAGCCAAGAAGGACAGCTGGCTCACTCCCTTAAGACAGTGAATTCTTTTTGATAAAAGGCAGACAAGGACACCTTGTGTTAAGGGGGACAGGCAGGAAGTTGGGTTCTGCTTTAACATTATGGGGGTTCAGTTTCTCTTGTGGCTTCTGAGCAAGAGCCAGGGACTGGGAATGCTGCAAAGAGGTGACGTCAAATTACACTCCAGCTGCAAAGAGCAAGAGTTCCAGTTGTTCCATATCCTTGTCAACACTTGGAATTATTGGCCCTTTTAATTTTAGCCCCTGTGGCCAAAAAAATGACTCAAAGTGAAACCACCCTTTTTCTCAAAGCTGAAACACCTCAACTGTACAACCCACACCCTTTGTGCCTTCAATTTCCTGTACAGACTAGGCATTGCATGCCTCTGAGTGGAGACACAACGGGCAGCTCTATCCAAGCATACAATTGAGACGTTCACTCACGGTTGTGAGCAACAAACTGAGAGGAAGTGATACACTGATGGGCTAGGGAATGGGACTTCCCAATGCGTGCCTTGCAGAGGGCGAGCAAGCCTGGCCTGAGCTCTATGCCCTGCAACCAGTGTTGTCCAACCATCACAAGAGAGGACCAGGTGAGAGCCCACTATAGCAGGGCCCCCTTTCTGACGCAGCTGGGCATCAGAGGAAAGAAGAACCACTTACGCTATAAATTCCTGCTTCCTGGTAACGTGTGCCCCGGGAGACAGCAGATGATGGCTCAAGTGCCTGGGTTTCTGCTGGAGAAACAGATCTGGCTGGTGTTCCAGGCTCCCGGTTTCCATCTGGCCCAGCCCTGATTCTTGCAGGTACTTGAGGAAATAATGAGAGTTCTCTCATTTTGTCTTTTTTAAAGTGCTCATTAGGACACCTGTGTCCCATGGTGGAGCCCGTGGGTTTAATGCCTCACTCCGGCTTCTGACGTCCTGCGAATGTAGACCCTGGGAGGCAGCAGGGTGACTCAGGAAGCTACCTCTTTTGTGGAAGACTTAGACTGAATCCCTGGCTCCACCCCATCCTGGCTTCAGTCCTTGCAGGCATTTGGAGAATGAACAAGCAAACAGGGACTCTTTCTCCCTCCAACCTTCATAACAGCACAAAAGAGAAACTTAATGGGGGAGGACCTTGTAAAAAGAAATAGTGGAGATACTGAAGTTAAGAGCCTCAGCCTTGGATTACCAGGCCAGCATCCTATCAAAGCACCTGCAGGGGGCAGCAGTGAGGCGTGACTTCTGAAGGTAGAAGATCCAGAGAACCCTGAGGTCAGTATGACATTCAACCTGGAACTTGGGGAATAGGTCAAGTGAGGCTTCCAGGAAAGACAGGTCGCCACTGTCTTCCTCAGCTGCTCCTGGACTAGATGTAAAACATGCTCCTTTTTTTTTAAAAAATACTTTTTAAAAAAAGATTTATTGATTTCTGTTGGAAAGGTAGATTTACAGAGAGGAGAGACAGAGATAAAGTTCTTCCATCTGCTGGTTCACTCCCTATTCCGCAAATGACCACAACAGCTGAAGCTAAACATATCCGAAGCCGGGAACCAGGAGACTCCTCCAGTCTCCCAGGCAGATGTAGGGGCCCTAGGCTTTGGGCCATCCTTCGCTGCTTTCCCAGGCCATAAGCTGGATGGGTAGTGGGGCAGCTAGAACATGAACTGGTGCCCATTTAGGATGCCGTTGCTTGGAGGTGGAGGATTACGCAGTTGAGCCATTGTACCAGCCCAAGACCTGGCTTTTGCTGTACAGAAGGAATCCAATCAAGATAGCAACCAGTTCCTTCAAGAGACAACCAGCCACCCCCTGGGCTCCTTTCCAGAAGAGCTGAGTTCTATATGCAGTGAGTGCTGGCGGAGCTGGAAGTGGCCACACACTCCCGGAAAGTGCTAACAGAACACCTGAAACCTAAAGGGACAAATTCAAAGTGGAGACAAAAGCAAAGACCTTCTGAACAAAGGGAGAAGTGTGTTGGCGATCCTGGTCTGCAATCCCTTTGCTGCCAGTGCTGGGGTTGCTCCTCCCTGGCATGGTCTCTTACAGTCCACGCAGCGGGCATTGATAGGAACCATGTGCGCTCAACAAGCCTTTACAGACATGGACTGAAAAGCGTCAGAACCGTGGCTGGTTCCCCCTTGGTCATGTAGCGGAGTTGGCGCTTTCCTAATTAGATCCCAAAGAAGGTGTTTGTAATCAACAACACACAGTTACTGAGGGCTCACCAAGCACCAAGCTGTGGCAAAACAACACAGAAGAGAGGTGTGTCCTTACTGCTTAGATTTTAACGAGGGATGAGAGTCTGTATAGACACCCAGACATTGGCTAGACCTTATACAAAAATTGAATTATGACTGGCAAGCTGCAGCAACCTATCCAGGAAACCACCTCCCTTGTCTACAACAAACCCAGGAAGCCAGGCTGCTGCTAGTTCGGGAAGTCAGATTGTGATCTCCAGCAACAATCTAGGAAGCTAAACAATCCCTTTGCAACAATGCGCTCCCCAAAGTCAACATTTGATTAATAAAGGAGGACTTCCCTATTTTTTTTATCCCTGCTTCCAATTTAGGACAAAGCAGAGAAAGGTTAGGTAGGCACCCTCAGCGGTTGCATCAGATGTATTAAGTTAGCTCACCTGCAGTGTCTCCTGCCAACAGCCTCCAATCAAGGCACCCCAGAGGCATCCACCCTTTCTTTTCTACCAGCCTCTGGTTCTCAACCAAAGCATGCTGGGACCTCTTTTTAAAAATGTAATTTGAACGTAAGTTTCTCCAACAAAGCAGCCAAGCTGACAGCGTGCCTTCCGCAGTTAGTGGCTGCTTTACATCAGCCGTGCGTGAGGGTTTCATAAACCATCCAAGGGCAAATGCAGCCCCCTCAGCCCAGGTTGCAGGGGGAGCTCAGTTCTCTCTATATCCCTTCCATCCTGGCTTGATGAGGCTGGGCATGGATGGGGGGTGCTGGTCAACCTCACCGGGGTCCCCCGAAACAGCTTTCACCACATCCCAGCAGTGGGACAGACAGGGAAGCTGCAGGATGACAACCACGTGCCTGATAAGAACTGAGCACTCTACCAGTGGGGTCTTCACCCTCACAGCATGCTCTGGGCATGACCCAGCCCTGGCCATTGCAGCCATTGGATGAGTGAACCAGCAGATGGAGTCAGTCTCTCTCTCTCTCTCTCTCTCTCTCTCTCGCTCTCGCTCTCCAGTTCAAATAAACAAATCAGTAAATCTTTTTTTTTTCTTTTTAAGAAGCTAGGAGTTGTAAGTCTCCCTACACACATAAAAAGTGATAAATGTTTAAGGAGATGAAAATGCTAATTAGTCTGATCTGATCATGACACACTGTTGTACATACATCAAATCATCACCCGGTACCCTATAAATATGCATGATTATGACATATCAAATAAAAGAAAGAACCAGCAGTTGGTGCTTGGCACCTGTGAGTTCTCAGGGCGGAATGTTAACTCTTGACGCACTGCCTTGCCACAGGCTTGGGAGGTACGACACACATTCTGCATGTGTGGGTGTGTGTGATGTGTCTGCTGAGTGAACAGCTACTGACACTCAGCTCGCCTTGCACTACAGCACGCTGCACAGGCCAGGCCCATGGGTTCCCTTGTGCTTTTCATTTTATTCAACGCATGCATCTGTAGGTTCCATCTGATTTACAAATGAAGAACTGAGTCTCAGAAAGGATCAGTGGGGTCGGCATTGCAGCAGAGTAGGCTAAACCATTAACTGCAATGCCAGCCATCCCATATAGGCGCAGGTTTGAGTCCCAGCTGCTCTGTTCCTGGTAGTTTCCTGCTAATAATGTTCCTGGAAATGCAGCGGGGGGTGGCCCCAGTACTCGGGCCCTCACACTCACAGGGGAGACCCAGAGGAAGCTCCTGGTTCCTGGCTTTGGTCTGGCTGCACTTCCAATCTA